TGAATTATAGAGAGTTAAATCAAAGTTAGATTAAATTTTAAAATTCCTAATTTTTTATTCAAGATACTACGGCATTCATTAGCAACAACAGACGCGAGTAAGGATTCATTGGCAACAGACGCTAGTAGTGATAACGACGAAGTCCCTGCCCCGCCCACTTCTTCAATCTATGTGTGTCAAGGCTGCAGTGTTTTGAAAAAAAAGTTACTAAATTCGCGCAAAGCAATGTGGCGGCTGAGAAAGAAAATGAAAGAAAATAAACTGGCTGCTGACATCTCAAACGACGACGCTGAGGTAGGCCTGTAATGCTAGACATAATGAAGGGATCGCAATCTGAACCTCAAAGCAGAGGTGCCATTGAATATAGAATTACCCTTTAGCACAACTTTTGTACTTTACTTAAAACATTTCACCTCTCTCTCTTTCCAGTTTTAATTGGATGTATCTGTAATTTAAATGCATACTCATAAACTATCAACTATCAAGGAGAAGGGGGTAAGATGCTCCAGCATACAAGGCCCATGGAGCATATTTCAGATTGAGGGGGCTAAAACCTTGTTGGGGGGCTAAACATGCAAAAAACCAAGATCAAGGCATTTTTGTATAGTTTGAGGTACATTTTGGAAATTATTGGGGGATGGGGGTAAAGCCCCCCTAACCCCCCTTCTGAGGTTCCTGTCATCATATCTTTGATTTTTGTTTTTTGTAACTGGACACTTTTCAGATTTTATAAAGTGCTAGGACTGCACCAGTTGCCATTTACAAGAAGTGGACAATTATTTAATTGTACCCACATCATTAACAACTGTATATAAAATGTGAAAAAATTAAAATGTCTGTTACATATAGCATGAGGAAGAAGATTATTATGATGAGGCATGCATGGATGACACAGAAGACATTAACATGGAGGATATGGATTACCATGAATTAGAAACTTCAGCTCTTTCTACAGATGATGAGAATGATGAGGATGTTGATGATACTGATGACGATAAAGAGTTTGATGAATCAAAAAATAACATAGTTTGGTAAGTAGATTAACTTCCCAAGATTCACTTTTCTTTCAGTTTACATCTAATTTTTCATTTATCATATCAGCATATTATCAAATACAATGAACTACAATTCTTGTCTAAAAACAGGGTAAAAGGTAATTTTATGATATTTTTATTCTAGGGTTGACAGTGACACAGGGCCTGCGGATGAACCAAAATTTGTTGTTTTCTACAGCATGCTTGTGCAAATATTCAGCCTATTCTGTTTTAATTGCAAACATGAACAACCAAAAGTTCAAGTGCTGGCAAGAGGCTCAATGGTAACAGTTGTGCAGGACTGTCTTACCTGTGGCAAGGTTTACAAATGGCACAGCCAGCCATTTATTTTTGGGAAGTATCCTGCGGGAAATGTGATGATGAGCTTTGGTATTCTTATGTCTGGAGTTCAAATTAGCCAAATACTTCTTGCTTTCAAGCATATGGGTTTGTCTGCCATTTCTCCAAGGACATACTTTTACCATCAGAGCAAGTTGCTGTTTCCTTCTGTAACCATGCAATGGAAAAAGTACCAAAGTGATCTGATCAAAAGATTGCAAAATCTCAACGACGTAACATGGTCAGGCGATGGACGATTTGATTCCATGGGACATAATGCCAAATATGGAACGTATACTATGTTTTGCAATAGCATCTCAAAATTGGTCCATTTTGAACTGTTACAGGTTTGTACAAACCAGCCATTGTCACTCTACCTCTAGTTTTTCTTCTAAAAAGCTTTAATTGAGTAGTCAAATGAAAACTCTAAGAATGACAGTAAACATTTGGCAAATGATTATTCATTAAAAAAAATTATCTGTGCCACCATTTCAGCCCCATGCATATATATTTCTCATTTGCATCTATTTATATTTTGAATGTGGTATAATGATAAAATTCTAAGATTTAGTTGTCACCACTTTTTAATGAAGTTGATAAGAATAATTAAGTTTGAATCCTATTTAATTCCAGTCAAACCAAGCTGGTAGTAGTAACAACATGGAGCCAGTCGGGGCACAGCGTGCATTCAAGTTTATCAAGGATAACAATTTAAACATATCCATATTTGTCAGTGACCGCCACAGAACCATTGCCAAATGGATTCGTGAATGTGAACCACAAACAACACATTTCTATGATCTTTGGCATGTCTGCAAAGGCATTTCTAAGAAGATTAGAACTGTGGGACAGGAGAAAGGGAACGAAATTTTATTACGTTGGATGAAGGCAATAAAGAAGCACCTGTACTGGTCGGCCACTTCAACACAGCAAGGCTTTGGTAATCTCATTGTTGCAAAGTGGGCGTCATTGATCAGGCACGTTGCCGACAAGCATGATAATCATCCTAATGAAATTTACAAGGAATGTGCTCATGATGAACTAGAGGCACGGGATTGGATTTATGTTGGTATGTTTATATATTAATCTTTTTTGCAAACATTTCTTTTTTGAAAAGGTTCTTGGAATGTTTAATTTTAATTAAAGGAACTTCTAAGTGTTTTATGCACACACTAGTTAATTATATTGCAAATAAATGAAATTTAGACAACATTTACCAAATGTTTTCTAATTCTCCACAGGAACTCAGCCATATGACCGTCTGAAAACAATCATTCTGAACCATCAAGTAATTGAGGATGTACGCAAACTTTCAAGTGATGCACAAACCAGCTGTCTGGAAGCATTCCATTCCCTCTTGAACCAATGGCACCCAAAAATGACACACTTTTCTTGGCTTGGTACAAAGTGCAGGTATAAATGAAATATGTCAACTATTCCTCATAAATTTCAAAGTCCCTATCAATTTTTTCATTTTCATTGTCATTCAAGGAAAAAATCACAAGAATGTCACTTGAATAATCTACCTAAAAACAGAGCTGGATATTTGAACATATTTGGAAAAATTGTTCTTCTGTGTATTCTTCTATTCCTTCATATGTATTTACTTTTGAGTCATATAATTCTTTGAATATCAGTGAAATATCTAATTTGATAGCTTGTCATTTGTCATTTCAGGCATATTCTTGCCATTTGTCATTTCAATGAGAATGTTTTGAGACAGCAAAACCAATTGCAAGATGGTTCACTTCAATACAATGTTGTGTACCCAAAATTCAAGCTTGGAGAAGAAGTAGTTAAAGAAGTAGCTGTTCCACCAACATATAGTAAGCAGAACATTGGGAAATTGTGATCATTGTATTTCTAATTGTTGAATGTCTAATTGTCTCAAACTGTATGTATTCTGTAATATAATATCATACATATATACTCCTTTACATGACAGGATATGTGTGTGATATCAAGAATACAATGCTCTCCAGCACATTGAAAGAAATGAAATACATCTTTGACCTAAGCAAAGAACATGAGCCTGAACCGTTAGACAGGCAATTTGAAAGGAAAAAATCAAAGGCAGAAGCTATCGGACACCACCTTCAAAGAAAACAGACAGCAACGACACTTTTCCCAGATGGTATAGAAATTGTTTTTACCAAACCTGATTGTATTGATACCAGTGTTCATTTTTATAGGAATTAAATAGATAACATGCAATAAACATACAGTAAATATAGTTTAGCGTGTTGCATGTCCATGAATAATAACAAAAAATATATATAATTAAACAACAACTTTGTACATTTGAAAGTTAAATATTATTGTGACATTTGGAGCATAACTCTTTATAGGGGTAATAAACATAGAACCTTGCATAGTAGCCTAGAAAACATGGATGCAATAATTTTAACAATATGTTTACAGCAAACCAGCAATACAAACTTAAAGAGGATGAGCAGCAACAGATGAATAGCAAAAAGGAACACTGCACACGCACTTGTCGCAAATGTCATCAACCCATGAAGGGTCATCCACGAGGAAAATGTCCTTCACCTGCTTTATCTTGATAACCTGTTTGCTTGTTTGATTTTGGTATGCTTATACACTCAGATTTGAACATAGTGAAAAAAGTTTAAGAAAACCATATCATTTCTACCTTTCAAATAGATGTTCTAATTATTAGTTCCCTTTTGTGGAAAAGAAACCTTAAACTTCCTTTACCAAGTTAAAATTTTTCAAAGAATAACAGCTGACTTTTTTCAATATTATATTCAAACCCGTTCCAGAGATGACATGTAACCTTTGGATTGATTTGTTGGATATCGCGATCTTAAATCATTGTAAATGCATGCAGGCAATGGGCGAGTGTTGCTCCATCCTAGGTAACCAAACAGGTATCTTGCAACCCATCTGTAGCCAACAGCCCTCATGAACCTAAAATGAAATTCTGTATTAATTAAGTGAACCTGGGTTTGATTCTAACGCTCATTGAGTTTAATAACTTGCGAAATCTTACTATTTGAGTTTGCCTAAAGAAGTTTTTAGAAACTGCAATAGCCTGATAAGTTGTGATCCTTTATTGTGTTTGCTAATAATTTGACAGTGATTTGATGGTATTATTTGTGATATGAAATAAATTTAACCTTACCCCTTACCTTACCCCTGGTTGAAATGTGAATAAAAATGGTGAAACTGGTTATTACCCATTCTCGCTCTGATCGGCTCTTTTCTTGTATTTCTTCCCGTCTCTCCCCTTGAGTAACGGGCTCACATTTGTCAGAACCACATTACATGTCATTGACTTGTAACCCTCAAACGCTGTGATACATCGGGTGTCTTCTGCAACGCCCACCAGTTTCTCGATCGCCTCTTGGACTTCCCGGCAACATCGGTACTCCAACGAACCAGTTAATAAGTCGATATGACATTCTCCACAACGGCACCTACCAGTTGTAATAAAAACAGGACTATTTTGTTGTTGTTAACTAAGAAAAACGCTTTTGCATCACCAGAAAACTCGCGAACGAAACCAAATCAACAGAACTGACGCCACCCAAACAGATTGAAGAATCTCCCTCTACTGCCCGTATGTGCCATAAGTTAAATTGGAAACGAAAATATAAAGCCAAAACTTACCATTCTTCAACAAAATGACGGCCTTCGTAACGAGCTGCCAACGTTTCACGAGAAAGACCATCTTTGTCATCCCTGTTGTCTTGTTGTCCTCCCCCTGGCCTAGCCAACGGCTCGTCTTGATAAGGAGCAGCAGCTCCCAGAAGAACAACCCCGTAATTCTCTTCATCCGAGGTTTCCGAAGAAATACCCGCTGTCGAAATACTTTCATGGTCACTAGTATTACTTTCTGACATCTTTTTGGTGGAAATACTTTATATACGAAAAAATCAGCACCTTATCCACCAGACCGGTCAGAATTTATCAGTGGTTTGTATATGAAGTTAATCGAGGTGATCATAATTGTGACGTCACACATGGCGCGTTTTTTTCGCACGACCTGCCCACTTTCAAAAGGCAATAAAATCCATAAGAAAAATGAAAAGGTCGACGAGAAAGATACCATTGCACTCAGAAAATACTGAATTTTCAGAAAATCAAATAAAATCTGGGTCGATATTTTCATTGCAGTAGCCCTTTAAACTACAAAATTAGAGGCAAACACAGCGTTAAAAAATTTTATAAAGAATAAATTACGATCGAAAATAAGTGACTTTTTTATCATATAGTTTACAGGCTACAATTGCTACACATTTAAGCAACAATAACAACCAGCCATTATCTTTTTCCAAAAATATTGAATTGCAGTATAAGTTTATGAAATTAGATGTATGTTTATTACTTTTTATTAAAAAGCATCTACATAAAACGCATAAATAAGCCCACTTCATATAATGCCATGGGATAGGAACCATCCGGAATCCTAGAGACAAAGTGTTGGGTTTTTCACCCTCTCCCCAGCATAGTTGTGAGATCTCTCCAATCCCCCGAAAAACTCTGAATGGCGAGATGGGGTGGAAAGTTGCACTATATTTTTTTACTGCATATCAAGTATTTAGGTCTTTTTTTCTACAGGTATGTTTATGATTGTGGATTTTAGGGTGATGAAGTCCACAATTTTTGTGGTAAGTTTCGGGAAAGTTTGTCGACAAATAACTTGTTCTTTTACAAGACCATAAGTCCTCCTACTTCAAGGATGTACGTTAAGTGCAATTTGGGAGCATATTATTCCAAATGTTGACATAAGGTCATCCTTAAGTATAGGGTAAGCTCATCTGGAAAGTCCTGCTTTGATGTCTCTACCAGACGTTAACTTACACGGGAAGATTTTGCAAGCTATTCCAGCTACGTTACATTATTTGTCTTTAAGAATACAGCCCTTAGATTACTTTTAAAGATACAACCCTTTAACAACCGAATTCAGATTACTGTAGTGTAAATATCCAATATATTTGTAATGCTATTATAACCCGTTACAGAAAATACCCATTACATAGTTTTTAATAACGAATGCAAAAGTTTTGCGTGATTATACCGTATATGAGTGTGCAAAATAAATTCTAGCTACAAAAATAGAAATGGCTACGATTCCCCAGTTTTCTTTGGGATAATTTTGTTCATGGTCATATATTCCTCAACTTGCCCAGGGAGCTCTGCTAAGACGTCTTTGGCCAGCCGTTCACCACTACTTGTATCATATTGGTTGTCTCTTCCTAAATAGTCTCGAAATGGCACAAACTGTTGGGTGAAAGAAAGTTGTTATTTTTCTGCCAAGATCACCTACATAGGATTTGTAACAACACATAAAATAAATTTACGAATACTTTACGAATTCAAAGCCATATGTTTAACATGCAATATCTTTTGGGAAGTTAAAGACCAAACGAGAGTAGTCCTTAAAGCTCAGAACACAAGTAAACGCATGTGTGACCATCTTTACATTCCTTATATTTTCCAAGCTCTGTCATAAAAAGAAAGCATAGCATTTTGAAATTAAGATTCTTATCTTAATTTCTGGGATGAAATAAATCTGCTTTCTTTGCTTTCTTTGATCATATTTGCGTACAAAATAAATCATGAACATATCAAGGTTTCCTCTTGCCCCTTTTCTTTCCCTAATCTTCTCGATATTCCGTTCGGCCCCTGTACCTTTCTTCACTTTGCCACCTGGCTATCCTTCCTTCTTCCAACCTCTTTTCATTGGACCTCTCCGCTTGTAAGGCTCCGTCCTTTCCTCCCCTAATTTCTTTCTTTCTTTCTTCCTTCCTTACTCGTATCCTCATAACCCTATCACCATTTTTGCTATCCAGTCATTTCATTTAGGCCCATTTACATGCCAACTTCTCCAAAGTACTTCTAACTCAAATTCTGATAAAGCAGAAAAGGCTTACTTGAACTATATCGCGAGCAGCACTGACGCCATTTGCAGAAAGCCGAACCTCATCCCCATCAAGTTCTTCCATTGCTGTGATAAATATGAAAATGGGATAAGTATTTTTTCATTGTCATGCAAATAACAATTATTTATAATTTCCATCCACTGCTACCATCTTCCTTATAGGTATTATATATAAAAGTTAGGTAACTTTACCTAGGAACCTAATTGTTAATACAAGTTGGAGCCTATAGGAACCTTTTACAGATTTCTTCAAATTTCTAAACACTTCAATTTACAGTTTATTTCACGAGATCATGTTAATATATACCATAAACTTCTATTGAAGAGCTGGAAAATCATGATTTACATTCTTATTGTTAATTTATCAGTAAAAACCTATAAAATCAGTGAGCAGAACTGAATTATAAGAATAGCAATAATGTATTACTTCCTGTAAACGCCCAGATTTTAAAGCCCTTCCGAATGAATTCACTGATTTTGAAATGCTAAAAACCACCCCACTTTAAAATGTCCCTTTGTTGTTAATGCTTTTGTCAGAAGATATTGAAAAAATAAACAGCACTCTTGGAGAGTCTAGTTAAAAAGCTATAGCACCCTTGGAACGTTATAAAGTTATAAAGTAATAAAGCTTTGTTATTTGTTGCAAATACAAATTGTTCTATATAATCGAAACAAATGATCCAGGCGCCCCTTTAATGAGTGCCCCCATACAGCATAAGCAACTCATTGAAAATTCTTATAAAATACTAAAATACTATACAATTAATACTCCACCATTTTCAAGCAGTAGGGTATATTTTTTAAGCGACGACTAAATTATTTACATTTGAGCAAAAAAACCGCAAAAACTTTCCCAGGAGACGGGTTATAACGAGGGGCATTACAATTTCGAAAAAAATTCTTAAAAACCGTGTTTGGAAAAGCTGATACACCCGTCGGATTATATTCATTACAATAAAATTATAGCAGTCATAATTGCCGATGAAACTGCTTACCTTCAAATGCATCCGACCCGACACCGACGATGATTATCGACATTGGTAGCAAGGCTGCCTAAGAATGAATAGTGTATTATAAAAATCGAACATATTTAGAAGTTTTGGCAATTAAAAAGACCAAGAATTGTTGTTTTATCAAAGTCTTCGCTAGCACTTGATTAATCGTGGTAGTAAAAGCGTGAGTTGGCCACTGTAATTAGATTATGCATGTCAGTTAGGCAACTGTCTGCATATCAACAGATTACGTCAGTAAATCGTTGAAAAATGGCGGGAATCTACGAAAAGCTAAGATGAATTCAGAATAGACGGATGATATTTAATTTTCACCAAAAGCCTTAGCTTTGACGCACAAACGAACTTAAGTTTAAGTGCAAGAGGGAAATCTTCATGTACAATGAAATACTTAAAAGTTTTCCAAAGCTTTAATTTCAGAATAAAATGACCAGGAAACCGCCACACCAGAGGTACCAAAAGCATGAGATTCTAAGAACCGGGCAAGCCTTCAAAGTAGCATTGAGCTTTCACTGAGGTTCACATCTTTTAAAAGGTGATTCAGAATATTGGGTTATGAGGCTAGACTATTAAATACCTTGACAATTGCGTCTTTGGTCCTTTCCATGTCAGTGATTATTCCGTCAGTGATAATGAGGAGAATGTAGTACCTTAAAATAACCGTTAATATGATACATAGAGGCATTCTGATACAGGGACAAACACAAAGGCAAAATATATCACAGGATAACGTCATGGCAAAAATTGAGACAAGATAAGAAACAACTCGTTTTCTTTAGAACCTTTGATAATCTGGGCAAGTTTTAGAAGTTTGAAAATTTCAAGGACCTTTAAAAAATTAATTTATGGCATTGTTTAAAAGCTACCTTTTTTAGTTATAGCACTAGCTCCCCTACGAAGCCCGCTACGCGGGCTTGCCAGTGACCCTACGGTAGAGTACATAGATTAGCCTCAGAAAAGACAAGAATTTTCTTAAAACCCCCTGTGAATGATAGTAAAATTAGCCTCGGTAAAGACAAGAATTCTTTCGAAGCCCCCAATGAGTATGCAGATTAGCCTCGGAAAAGACAAGAGGTGTATCAAACTCGATTTGAAAAAAATTGGCTCCGCACAGGTCACGTGATAAAAAAATTACTCGCACTCCTGTGACTATCGCTAGTCAGGAGGTCGCCTGAAATAGAGAAGGGGTAGAGGCTCCCCCCTTCCTAGCGATAGTCACAGGAGTGCGAGTAATTTTTTTATCACGTGACCTGTGCGGAGCCAATTTTTTTCAAATCGAGTTTGATACACCTCTTGTCTTTTCCGAGGCTAATCTGCATACTCATTGGGGGCTTCGAAAGAATTCTTGTCTTTACCGAGGCTAATTTTACTATCATTCACAGGGGGTTTTAAGAAAATTCTTGTCTTTTCTGAGGCTAATCTATGTACTCTACCGTAGGGTCACTGGCAAGCCCGCGTAGCGGGCTTCGTAGGGGAGCTAGTCTTCCGTTAATTGAAAGTTGCTTCAAAACATTTGCAGCCCAGGTCTATTCGTGTTCCTCGTTTAAATATTTTAATGTGTTACCCCTTAAGTCTCCTGTTTCAATTTTCCATAAAATTTCATGTTAAGACTTCCCAACCTTACTTATCTGTTTACTCCTCTGACAAATCAAATTAAAGTTGAATCTATCTTGAAAATCAGAATAAAAAAACAATGTCCTCCTACATTCTTTCAATTTAATAAGGAATGCAAGCAAAAAGTGTAATATCATACAGCAAGCAGGCAAGGATACTTTAAACGTGACAAAAGGCAAACATAATTAATCTAATCCATAGTCACGCCTACTGTCAGTAGCATATACTATTGGCAAGAGCAGGAAATAATTGCTCGAGGACAAAGTATTATTTACTTGCAGCAACAACCCTATTGAGATAAGAGCTATTTTCGTGTAGGAAGATAATGCTTTATTACCTTGATTGTAATTCAGTAAATCCTTTTAGAAAAGTAAACCCAAACTTAATTATTTGCTGGCTCCAGATACCCATACTTGCGAAATTCCTAATAGAATCAATCCAATAAGTAGTTCCTTGATTATTATGATTACCAATTAGCAATATCATAGCTTTCATCACCATCTGAACCCCTTTGAAATCGAGGTTAATAGCACTCTTGACTTTCAGAGGCTAATCTTACTATTCCATTCCGGGGTCCATAGGGTGCCCGCAGAGCGGGATTTACTGGGAGCTACTCTTCCGTTTATTAAAATGTACACACCAATTTGATACATAAACGGTTGCAATATCGAGGCAAGGCAGAAAAGTTCTTCAATACATTTTGTAAGCCACGATCTAATTGGGGTCCTCGTTTAAATACTTTCACGGGTTACCCTCTTCAATTCTCCTGCTTATTCTAATTGCAATTTTCAAAGTTTCCATCTTCTTTTATCTCTCGGTGTATCGTGGTGGTCGTTTAAATATCTTGCAGGCTTATCTAAAAGCTTTGTTAATTATTCTGAATTCTACTTTAAACTTGACAGCAACATGCTTCTGCCAGTCCCACCAATTCCTTATGCTCGTTGGCACATTTTCATGGGTTACTCCTAGAGGTTCTCCTATTTAGTCAGAATCAAATTTTTAAGTTTTCCAATCATACACTCTTAGCCCTCGTCGACTTATGGGGCGTTTTTAAATATTTTCTAAAGTCATTCTTAGAGCTGTAATGTTCATTTTAAAGCACTTCGTTCAATCTTTGTTCACTTGTGATGCTGTTTTTAGACATAATTGCGGGCCACCCTCAAAGCTCCCTGTTTATTCTGAATCAAACACCTCTTCTAAACCCCAAAGAGTTATAAAGTTATTACGCAGTTCTATACATTTGAGGTCCACATATCATATCTTCGTCACAATTAGCTTTTGAAACACTGCAGCAACAAAGCACTTAAGAAATGGAAAGATAGAAAACAGCCAAAGTTTCGTGCATCAGAAATGATTCTTACTCCAACAACAAATTAACAAACTACAATTTACGGACAACAGCTAATCTATATAACTTTAGTCCTTTTCTCCACAGTCAAGAATCACGTCTGGGTCATAATTATTGCTTGAAACGATCTTTGATCTAGATGAAGAACATCACAAATAATTAAGATGTTATTCCATGGTTAATGAAAGCACTTTTTAAGGAAATCCATAGTCATAATGCTTTGTAAAAATTTCAGAAAAAAAGGTTCGCCCCGAGGGTTTAGCCACCCCTTTATGCGACCTGTTTTTAGTGAAATTTCATCAAACTAAGCATGAAATCATTTGAACTTGTTCTTGTGAAGCGAGCAATACAGCAAATCCATCTTCCTTGAAGGACAAAACTAAGAAGAGGTAAAACATTAAGAGAAAGGCGTTCGTGGCGGGTCTAGTGACTCCTTTCAGCAACCGGTTTTTAGTGTAATTTCACCCAAATAAGCATAAAGTCATTTGAAATGGTTTCTAGAATAATTGTCACTCAAGAGGCAGGCAAATCCCATCTCATTCTCAGTGGGAAAATCTCACAAAAAGTGAAAATTTAATAGAAAAATACTCACTTGTTGAACCAAAAAGTCAGCGAATCCGATCGTTTATCTACAAAAAAAGAAGGCGGTTAGGAAAAGTTGCTGCAAAGGATTCCCGATAGGCATAAAAAGCTGGGGGCTGGCGGGATTACATAATTCGCATTACAACGGGTTTCCTATGAAAATCAAATTTTCTTGCATCAAGAATAAACAGCAGGCAAAATCTACCACAATTCTTCATACTTTGATTGCAATAAAGCCAATCCAGTTTCCTTTAAGCACAAAACCACGAGAAGAGGTAAAAAGTTTTCGTTCGCAGCGGGGGTCTAGCAGCCGGTTTTTAGTGTAATTTCATCGAAATGAGCACAAAATCATTTGAAAAAAGTAATATCGAAAACACGTAAGAACAACAACGCTTACTTTTATTCGCATGCCATCGATTCTGATGCCAGTGAAGAAGGGGAACAGCCAGCAGCAATCGCAAAACCAAAAAACGGGCAGCAGTGTGCGTACCGTACGTAGCTACTAAAACGAAGAAAAGGAAGATTGTCAAAAGCACGAATCACATGGCTCTTGCAAACAAAATAAGAAACGGGGTTCAATCGTCGATCGATAAAAAATCAGTTGATAAAAAAGCTAGCAAGACTCACCTGAGGTCTGTCGAGAGCACCCAGCACGATTGACTACTGGAGCTGTAGCTGTAGCACAAGACACCGACCGTCGACGACCGCTTCGAGTTCGAAAAGGAATGCCAACCAGCAGTGCACGTAGATTTATCATCCAATTCCAAATCACCTAAATTATCGGCACACAGTAGATTCTTTGTGGAAAGCGAAACGAATTTGAAAAGCCTCCGTTCAAATTGAAGGGTTGCTGTTGGAAGGAGTTTTGAAACCTTTTGTAGAGAGCAAGAGAAAAGAGAGAGAAAGAACCTTTAGAAAGTCGGGACAAAGACCGCGGAGAGCACTAATCGTGATCGAGAGGATTTCGAACGAATCCGGGAGAAAACCGTAAATATCTCAGGAACGGAAGCGAAAAGGAGAAAAAGGAGACCGTAGTATGGTGGACCAAAGATCGAGGATGAAGGGGAAAAAGGAATTTTGAAAATCGGCCGAGCGGTTTTGGCTGGAATCCCTCTTAATCGCCGGGCGGTGGGGACCTTTTGTTCGGGGTTAATTTGCATATACGAATTTTAGTTATGGTGATTAACAGCTGTAAGCAAAAAGATAAATTAAATAAAATAAACTGGCCCTTTTTAATAGTTATTTTCATTAGGTTTCAATCACAACACTTAGAGGAAATTGGAACGAAGCAACGTGTTGCTCCATCAAGCTTCTCTTTTAAGTTGTAAATACCAGGCTCAACAAGGCATTTTTTAACATATAAAGTGGTGGGGAAATTCCCCACCAGCCCCCACCCACCAGTGGAACATGTTTGCCCCACCACTTAAGTGCCCTTATGATTCGGTGACTTTTTTACTTTTTACTTTATTTGAGATATTGGTGGACGGAATCTTCATTGAACAGGTTTCAAATCTCAATTCATTTTTCCCTGGAACTGCTGCTTCTATAGGCGATTCCCCTAGAATATTTTTGAAAGCCTGTTTCTCTGTAAATTCTACCTTTATCTATATGCCCTTTTCTCAAATGCCCCACCAGTGGAAAATTCTTAAAAAATGCCCTGAGGCTCAAACTTCTTCGCCATAGGATTCAAATCATGTATGGCTAAGAGCCAGCGCCAAACCACTTAGTGCATAAGGTAGGACGATCCATTTCTGAGTCCCTTAAAGTTCCAGTCATTGCTACAATGACTGTCAAGTGCTATTTAATTTATAACGAGGAATACTCACTGAGACCCTGGTTTGTTTCTCGCACTCATCTCTGCAATCCTGCGTATATGAAAGTTTTCAATTACATTTACATCCGAAAAACATTGCACGACTGACCCTTCTAATATTATGTCATGACAGACTGGAAGTGGTGATATGCAAATAAGGCCGAATGGAAACAATGAATCACAAAGATGGCATGCTCACAATGTATATCCATTCAACAATGTATATCCATTAATTGTACTTCTGCTTGAACAATGTGAAAAATTTCTTGGCCGTACAAAATTTGAAAAAGGATTTGAAAAAAGCAAACATAACAATGTGCATTTGTCAAAGCCCTTTGAAAAAAACTAGCCAACATTGATATTTCGAAAATTGTAAAACTGTATTCCATTATAACAAGACTGTAAAGGGAGAAAAATATACCTTGCAGTGCTATTGATAACTGGAGCAAAGTTGGTCGGGCCTAGAAAAAATTTTAGACAGTCTAATCAAAATAACAGCTTAAACATACTTGATCCTTTCTTCCTCAAATAATGTTTAAACATACAGGGAATTTAAATTCTTCTTCGGTCTTAAAGTTGAAATGAGCATTTGCTTCTCTTTTCCTTCCTTTTCTTTTTATACAGAGACACTATTGAGGTTGGGAATAAGTGGAAATTTTAAAGAGAGACCTCCTTTACATCTATTATATAGTGCAGATATGACTGCCTGTGATGCAGTTATCGTGAAGAGAATATCTCTCTAATGAAACATAAAGAAAGGACTAGGAATTGTTTTCAAATTTTTAAAGAAGGCGAAAACAGTAAGGTTTAATATTATATTATATTTCTTAATAAAATGTCATAATTTTTAACTTCTATGGGTAAAAATGAAAATTTTCGTAACCTGGTTTGGATAAAAAAGTTGATAATTTGAAATTTGCAACAAAACGAAATTTGAAATAAACTTTAGACTTTCAGGGCTTACATTGGAAGAAAGGATAACAACGTTGAAAAAATTAAAACAAACCGTATAATCTGCAGTTGTGGATACTGTTATAGTAAGCAGCAACGATGCCATCGACACCTGGACAGTTCGGATTCCCGGGATTGAAATTCTACAGAAAATAGATCTATTTGAATCCAAGTACAAAAAAGATTTCAACACAATTTAAAATATTTTTCTCAAAACAGTTTTTCCTTGATAAAGAGCAGTTAGGATTTAGTTACGTCTGTTTTAACTGACCTCAAACTTTTAAAATATTGACAGGTTGTACAAAGAAAGGTTGTACACGCATTGTTTCAAGGGGGAGAGGGGTGGCTTTGTCCGACCTTTAAAATTGATCTTTCTCAGCCATATAAATTCTTCATTCCAGTTATAAGGTATTTATCAAATGTTAAAGCTATCTCACCAAAGCAAATTCATGTGAAACGTGGAAATTTGGAGGAATTTGCGCACCAAATCCAAATGCAGGAAACAGCTTGTCACTAGATAATAAAGAAAATTTCAGTGCCCTATGAGAATTTGAATACTCAATTGATTTACTTTTAAACAAGATTTGTAATTGCTGGAGTAGCCATATTATAAACACAATTGTCTAGCATCATCGATCGACGAATGTATTGATACAACATTGAATCTCAAAAATTGTTTAAGATTTCTAATCACAAAAATTGGTCCATGAAGCACAATATTTTGAGTACCTTTTGAAAGTTAATGCATTTTCATCTACCGTGATAACAATCTACATACTATTGCATACCAAATTCAAACATCAATCTAATTGCTTTGATATAAACAATTTACATTAATTCTAGTTGAGACCCTTGATTAAAAGCATTCGCTTACACCCTCTTAGCATATTCCTTATGGAATTGGCTGTTGCTTTTAGGCTTCTAATAACCCCACATAAGATTACGAAAAAATAAATGGCTATAGAATGACAGGAAGTTCAAGAAAGTAAAATTAAACAAATAATATGAATATCTTACGAGTCATAATCCTGGATGATGGCACCAACGGAATTCAATGCCTGCACGTATTGGTTTGGCGTATATGGATTGATATAATGAAGAGACGACGGATTGCTAGGTGCCCCTGTAATATGACAAATTGTATTTGAGTAGCGAATCATTGGTTGTGTCGTCTCCTGGGGCTATTATGGGCTGGTATCTGGCAACCTTAAACAAAATGGAGCTTCTTTCTTGTTCAAAATTAGCAAATACCTGGTACGAATGGAAAAATTAAAAAAAATACTGAATAAACTTTTAAGTGTAAGTTTTTGATTAAAAGACATGATATATATTTTGATATAATTGAGATATAAAAAAATAATTTTCAAAACTTATTACCCAGCTTTTAATTTATCTTTACTCAAAAATCAAAAAATTGCTTGAAAAATTACTTGAAAAGACTTAAATTTTAATAAATGCTTTGATTCGTATAACTAAAATTCTTGAGACTTTTTGATCTTATACAATTAGTCCTAAAGAGACAAACTCGAGATTTTGAAAAAATTACCATTTGATGCTGTGAAGTCAATTGCAACAGCAAAGCACAACTCTGTCCTGTAAAAGAAAATCATGACAAAACATCACTTAAAAAAACTTAAAATATGATATATGACGTCAATGGTTTTTCGAATTCCAATTTCATCCCTCTTTCCTTTCTATCATCTACCTTTCCATAAACATTTCATGAAAATATTTACACTAAGCAGATTTAATGAATATAGAATCTAACACGAAATAATTGGCTTGCTCATCCAATCTCTTATTCAGCCTGATAAGTATGTGAACTTCATTTTGAGAAGCTTTTTGATACAATCTATGTAAAAGTTGAAAAATCAGTAGCCCTCGAAGAAAACCCACATACGTTTCTGGGCAGGCACTGAAAATACCTGCTATAAAACATAGAACTCACCCTCCCTTAATGAAGTCCAAGAATGAATGTCTTTGCTCTATTCTACAGTCAATGACGTTTATCTGTAGATAAATTAAATTCGATCTGAAGAATTCACGAACTGTGATATATTTCAGTGAATAAGAACAACAAAATTCAGTTAATACTGATTCATTATACGTACCAATTACAAGGTCGGCAGCATCCCGAACTATTTGGTTGAATGATGAAATAGGCAATTTTTATATGCCCCCAATCAACACTTGTTTAACTTGGCGTTTAGAGACGAAAGGGGGACGGGGAACAAGAAACAGGGACTATGGCAGTGAACAAGAAATCCAAGGGAAAGCCAATCCATCAAAGAAAGCCTAAACTGTAAGGGAGCCATTGCTAGAAGGACTTTAAGTCCTCTTGTCAAAAACTGTCATCTTGTCATTTCTTGGTTACCTCATGGCAAAAAACCCGCAATATCTCCTTACCACTTAAGTGGGTTGCAGAGCGTGTTATTATCGCGAACGAATAACTGAAAGTACATAGTGCCTACTTTCATATTGGGTGAACCCTCTGGTAACAGACAAAACTACATATCGGATATCTCCCAATATTGGACACCTCCCAATATCGGACACCTCCCCAACAATAGACAAACAATCTAGCCTTAAAACGTCTATCCTGCTGTTTCCCCAGAGAACAAACGTTTCTCTACAACTTTGGTTCTGCTGGGGCCAGTCCTAATTAGGCTTCAATGCAAATGCATGTGACTAAGATTAGTTCGATTTTTGCTAAAAGCATTTTTTTAAAAATTGAATAAGAAAATACAAGATATTATTTATAAAATGTTAGCATACCAATCCTGAATTCTTGTAACTCTTCTTCTTTGCTTTATATTTCGGATTTATTAGCTAAAAACAGGAAAGAAACTAAGGATCCATGCAGGAATCCATGCAATAGACTATAAAAGCAAACTACAAGTCAAATTAATAAAAGAAGTTATTGACTTCAAATATCCATACCACGTTCTACAATTGAGTGCTTACTCGATTAATATGACCGAAAGAAATGAGCAGCAGACTCGCGGTAAAGAGGATGTCGACATGGGGTACATACGCGGGTGAAATGCGGTAGTGCGCGATATTCAAATGCGAACAGTTTTTTTGGCAGTACAGAACTTGAAAATGGCTTTGAAAAAAGGAAACATTTTACAACATACTAACTAAAAGCTTTTTGGTCTGACACGCCTCAAAACATGAAATGTCAGAGTAAGGGTCCGAAAGAACACGATGAAAAATATATACCCAGTTGTGGATCGAAATAGGCCAATCAGAAAATTATTGTTCGTTTTCTCTCTTGGACTCCCGTGGTAATTTTTTTTCGGCATGCGGCACTGATTGGTCAACTATACCGGTATTGTGCTTGCGTCTTTCTGATTGGCCTACTTAGATCCACTACCGGGATACATATTTTCCATCGTGTTCATTCGGACCCTTATTCTGACATTTTATGCTCTGAGGAGTGTCAGACGAAAAAGCTTTTACCCAATATGTTGTAAAATTTTTGCTTTTTTCAAAAAGCCCCTTTCAATTGCATATTTATAAAAAGACTCATATACTTAGATACAAAGCTGACCTATGGAAAATTGAAACTAGGCTTTTTCTACCCGTGACCCTTAGCGTACTGAGTGCCAATCAAAAGAGAAAACTTACAACTGGAAATGAGTCGAGGAATTTAATATTTATTAGTAACTTTTTTATTTATAAGAATTGAAAGGTAGATAGATTTTTAAATAATGAACAATGAAGGGGTGGGATTTCCGACCCTTAATAGCTTGTTTTGGTAATATAAATTTTACAACTCCTTTTCTAATAACTCTAGCTTAGATCTATCTAATAACTCCAAAACAGATCTATGATAATCGATACTATGGCTTTGAAAAAAGCAAACATTTAGTAAACTAAAGCTTTTCGTCTGACTCTCTTCAGGGTTTAAAACGTCAGAACATAGATCGAAAACTCTACGCTAAGAAATATATATACCCAGTTGTGGATCGAAATAGGCCAATCAGAAACACGAGCACATGACTGTGGAGGTTGACCAATCAGTGCCGCTTGCCTATTAGAATGTTACCAGTGGAGTCCTAAGGTGAAAACGAACTCCTTTTGTCTACACAGTAGCGGTTTTTTCGTGCTTATGTAGATAGATTCTAAAACTGCTAGGTGGAACGACGATCGGGCTTTACCAATAATCCGGAACATGTCGCCATTATAGTTTTTTGCACAATCTGGGTTTTCTAGCAAATGCTGCCCGATAACAGAATCGCAGGTTTTAGTTGTAATTTTAGATTTGCAAGACCGAGGTGGCTGTTCTCTTTGGGGATGGGTTTTGTTCTTTCTAATATAATATATCTATGATAATCGATAAATTAATCTTAAAATGATGAAAAGAGTACCTCGTAAGATGTTTTTCCTGTGCGAAAGTTAGCCAGTTGGCTTAGTGATGTTTCGAATTTTCCAATTAAAGAATGGCTAGAGAGGAAATCAAGACGGAAAATTATGACTTTTGGAATTTCTGCGAAACTTTGAATAAAAAAATTGCTAAAAGCAATTAAAGAAAGCAACCAGAGATGAATTAACCAAACTTCGCACTTAAAAGCTACAAACTGTTGAATAAAATTCTGTAAACTAATTGAAACTTTCTTTACTTTTTTAAAACAAGATACACGTCCTGTAAGTGATTTTACAGAGAAAGATGGTCAATGTAATTAGTTATTCTGAAACTGTACCTTCCATTATTATTCCAATCATAGCACTCAATAAGTAGTGTCCTGCTAAAAGAAAAAGTTCGTCAAAACATGAGGTAATGATGAAAACTATGTACCTATTTGTTAAATAATAATCGATGCTGTATAGAACATAACTCAGAACCATCCTGTTCAACACATCAAAGCTTGAAGCTCGTGATGATATTCCATATAAGAAATCTTAAACAAACAAACAAAAGATAATAATACAACTAAGTATTACCTGATTAATAATTTAGCTTTGTTTCAATGGAAAAATGACATGTAATCAATTCATAAATAGATGAAGTCATATGACAACGATAATCACATGTCATATATAACTTGAACAAGATTTCCTTAAACGTCTTGACAAGCTTTAAAAAACCATAAAACTAATATTGAAAAATTGAAGGACTCCGTGCATTAATAAATTGTTTCTTTAAATGGAATTTCTGAATAAGTTATCCCAGAATTTAACATGCATAACTAGGGGCTTTGACTACAAAATCCCTTAGCTGTGATCTTTATATGTTATTGCTTTCTTGCGCTGAGTAATCAAAATCGTATTTAACTAAACGATAATTTCCGACGTCTATTTTGGTAAAGATTAATCGAATGATACCTGACATCATCTCCATTACAGAGCGTTCTTGAGGCAATTCTAAAAGGTGACCAGGTTGGGTTTAAGGTACTCTTGATCACGTTTGTTCGATGTACAACTGAAAAGCTGAAATGAAATGCAAAAGTTAGCTTAGAAAAAAGAAGCAGCAATGTTTGTGAAAGATTTATATTTTATAAATTAACTGATGATGAAATGAGTAATCTTCAAAAACTGCTGACATGTTATCTAGATAAGTTAGCAGGCTGAACTAACGTGCGGTGATCATTAACGTGCTCGAGTTAGTTTGTTAGTTTGTGGAGGCATGTTAGTTTGTGGAATAACTCGTAGTGACAGCTTGAAACCAGTCTTCACTAAGTTAAGTTAAGTTGGTACAGCTTTGTCAATGAAGAATGAATCTGAGACGTTGGCATTCAGAAGCAAAGTCATGATAGCAGAATATCTATGACAAAAAGTCCCTACACAAATACCGATCATCTTGCAATGAAAGTTTTATTTCAATTCTTATACACTTATATTTTACATATTTGTACTAAAAAGGCATATAGTTATTCATTTTGCTAATCACATCTTGACATGCAGATGAAAGTTTTACATCCCCTCCTTACTGGTTGATGGGAATATATCTTTTGTATGCGAGGATCATAATCAAAACCAAAAAAACAGACCAAAGGAGATTGCCAAAATAATTTTAATTGTTAAAAGTTGCCCAATATCTGGAGTTGCCTAAATCTAACAATGAAATACTAAAGCCTTTACACATCAGAAGTAAAACCATTGAGGGACCGAGGACCAATGCCCTTAATAGTTTCATCGCGATAATTTCATCCCCCAAAGAAATGGCACGTAAAGTCTTGACTTGAAAGACTTCCTTATCCAGCAAAAAGCTGCAAAGCACTCTAAAGATTTATGGTAGCGCTCTGAGTGCAGCCTCTGTTTCATTTTCATTTAGTTTGACGGTCCTCTTGTTTAAACATCATGGTGCTAAAATAACGAAGCACTGCAAAAGGTGTTCACCTTCCATCTTCATTGCATCTTGATATCGTTAAGAATGGATCGGATTTGCCAAAGAAGTCCTTTTTATCCAATTTACGACCACAAAACTGCAAATTCACAATGTCCTGAAAGAAAGCAGTTGTATGGAATAAATATATATATTGATTTTTGTAAGATGATTTACAAACCACAAGAATGTTCCATGTATTGTGTATTTTATCCAAAAGCAAATGGACATAAAGCAATTTAGTAGCCACAGGTGGTCCTTGCCCGTGCGTTAGCCCTTTTTGCTAGGCCGCAAGTCCGAAGATATCTTAAGAAGAAGGAACTCATCCTTCTAATGTTCATCTTGGGCCTTGATGACTTGGTTCTGGTTTCTGAGACCTTCCAAAGACTTCCAATACCATCACCGGCCAAGAGTGTATTTGATAGAAACTAGTGGAAAAAAGATCTATGCGCGTAGTCATATTTTTCATACACAGGTGGGAAACTAATGTTGAAGGGGGGGGGGGTGTTGGAGAGGTATGAGATGAGGGTGAAAGGGGAGTGAGATTGGTGTGGACGTGGATGCGAGAGAATGGGAGTAGATGTAGGAGGGGTTTGAGATGGGTGTGGGAGGGGTGTGAGATTTGGGTTTGAGGGGAGTGGGGAAGTGGAAGTGGATGTTGGGGGAGTAAGAGGATATGGAAAAGGTGTGGGAGGATGTGGGAGGCGAGTGGAAAGATGTGGGAAGGGTGTGGTAGGATGTTTGTGGGAAATGGAAGGTTGTGGGAGAGATGTGGAAAGATGTGGGAGCGGTGTGGGAGATGTATGAGAAAGTTTAAGAAGGATGTTGGGGAAGTTTAAGTAGGATATGTGAAGGGTACGGGAATGGTCAAAAAAAGAGCGTAGAAGGTGTTCAGTGGGGATGCAAAAGGGGTATGGGAGGAGTCTAACAGATTTCAAATCCTTGCCAGGGCAGCAGTCCCAATTAGCTTCTAGACCCCGAAAGCTAGAAGTCTTATTCTCAGCATGAAAACATTTCAGGAGCTGCAATTTCTGGCAGCTACCATCAGGGAGGATTACTGTCCTGTCAAAAACAGAATGATCATAACAGTTGATCTTTTTTTGATCTACTGATTATTGATTAGCCGACATAATTTTTCTAAATCCAACAGCAGCATTTCTCAGAACGGACTGCATCACCCTTTACGAAAGAAAGATTCAAGATATTTTTAAGGCTGTATTCCTTAAAGATTTTCAACGAGACAAGCCAATGACCTTTTTGTCAGGACCAAGGTTCCAAATCAGGCAATAGCTCTTATCGTGCTTAGCGGGAGATGGTGATTGATTTTGGGTTTATTCATTTTGTGCTATTGTTCTTTAAAGTCTATCATCACTAAAAGGTTTTAATTTTTGGCAGGGAAATACACTACACCAAAGTATAACATGCAACCTTCGTCTTTCTTTAGGTATACCCTCAACTTGTTTCAGTACTATATAAGTATTTCAGATTTACAGAATTTTAAAACTATGTAGCTCTGCAGAAGAAAAAGATCAAAACCTTAGCATAAAATTTGTACACTTTCAAAGGCCAAAAGTAGTTCTAATGCTACTAAAATGCCTGGAGTGCGCTATCAAAACATTGGCTTAGACCCCCACTTGCGTGGAGATAAAAAATAATACATGATTACAAACTCGTTTGCAGGGGCTTAATCTTATTCATCTTTGACCTAGAGAGCTGGTGATAGGACAATAGTACTCTTTGATCAACATCAAAAGATGGCCTCATATGTGATAATCCGGATTCGTCTTCAAAAAGAAAACGTTTGTTTTCTTAAGAACAAGCTTGAATGTAACTATAGATTGTGTTTCAATATCTAATCGCAATGGATCAGCTGTGACAGAAATAGTCTGCAGATTTTACTGAAGCTAATGACATGGGGTTCATTCAAGAGTTCAGTAGCGATGCAAATATATAATGTATCTGCAATGGTAACTTAAATAGACCTTCCCCTTTTTGCGTTTTCTGGTCTCTTTCCGTGCGTTCGGTGACGAATAAATGGCCTAATATGTGATCATCTTTAACATACAGAATAACAGATAAAACTTATTGCATTTAAAGTATAAATCATTGAGTAATCAAAACAACTAGTCATTCTAAAAAGGAAAGAGTTGCGTGTGGTAAATGTATATCAAAAAGACTAACACTAAAGGAAATGACCTTTTTGAATAAGGATATTAAAACTAACCTTGCACGATCGAAGCTCCTCGGCAGAAACTATAGCAAATCAGAAAAATGATAAAAGAAGTCAAGATATAAGAATGATAAAAAAATTATATGAGAAGCTTCACCTTCTGATATTAAAGGTTAATTGATTGAAAGCAACGAGCTTTCTGCATTTTCGTTCATTGACATCGTCACAGATTGATCCTTCGATAAACAATCTCAAGATTCCAGAAGCTACACAATGAGAGTTTCAACTCAAGAAAAGGGTGGCAGTTACTCATTTACAAGGCTTAAGTTTGCGTTTTGTGGTTGATCTATATATAAGTGAGGTAATATCAAGTCAAGATCACTGGTAGAGACTACGACCAGTTAATCGTGTTTTTCTAAAACATGGCGAAGCATTGTAGGCCCCACCTTTTACCACACAATGATGGGTTTTTTCGAAAGCTGGTGATTTGAAAACATGGCTACTGATCACAAATTTGAGGTAAAATCAGATACGAAAAACTGAAAACAAACGTCGTTTTTGTTGTGTTGCAGTGTATGCAGTTAATAGGTCTGGAATGGTAGCAGGATCACTATTTTGTGTTTTTCCTATAGATTTTAACAAGGATTGTATGATTCTTTTAACCAGCTTTCTCAAGATGGAAAAAGCTGCAAAAAGCTTAGTTACGGACAGCTTTACACAGATTTTAGGCTTTTTTTATTTAATTTCAAGAATTTTTCTAAAATCAAATAAAAATTGAACACGTAGCTCTCTTCATTCTATGACACTTGGGATTTTCGGCACAATGAAAAATCTTTTGAAAGCGAAGCGCTTGTATGGTACATTTCTGTTATACAAGGTCTTTGTTCACTCCTTTCGGGGGCATTCCCTCTTTTCACGCATTCCCGTTCCTTCACGGGAGCTTCTTAAACCTCCCAATGGTACAGTGCTACAATAGCAGAACAGAGGGAAGACTTTTAGCCACTTGAAGCTATTTATAGTATTCTGAATCGTTTAAAAATTTTATGCATTTTTCGTTTTCGTGGAACTATTTTAAGAGACTTTACAAAGGACACGAAACGCGCATAAATTTCAGGAGTTTGTATCTATCTTGCTAGTTTAAACGGAGAGGATGAGCCAAACTTAATGTATGAAAGACTCATTCTTCACATCATGTCGCTTCTCTAAAGATGGTTAAACGCAAAGAGATTTTACATGAGTCAACTCACCAATGATAAAGCCACACTTCGCATGCTTTGGATTGCTGCAATGAAAGATAATGCACATGAGACAAATCCTGCATCCAAAAAAGTCAAAATGAAGTAACAAACTGGAACAATTTAAAGACAAATTCACGATAGCAGAGTAACAGGTGAGTGGTTTCTTTATTGGAACATAATTCAGAGGAAATATCGAAATGCATAATGCTCAAAATACTTTAATTTCGTCTGCAAGCGTCCTCCGCTTTCTCCAAATATCGAGCCAAGTGTGCACTCGGCGTGTCCGATGAAATCCTTAAAAAAGAAATATTTAACGCTTACGAAATGGTGCTGACATAAAGTTTAGCAAAAACAAAATATATGTCTAAAAGGCCTTCTGTGCTCGAGGAGTTCAGTGAAAAACCCCCGTGTTTCTGTGCTCGCGGAGTACAGTAATTTCAAAATTGGGCCTCCAATACATAAGAACATTTAAGGCTAAAATTTAAAAATTAGTCTTCCTATACATAAAAACCTTTTCAGGCTAAAATTTGAATTTGAATTCAGGCTAAAAGTTAGGTTTTTACCAGTGGAGTTGCTGTTGAATAAAGTTTTATTATCTGCTTATATCTAACACTAACTTGGCAAAAAAATGTTTTACTTTTAAGCCAAAGTACAATACTGTGTCTAACAAAGAAAGAGAGACAAGACCCCTTATGCTTCTGTAAACTCAGAATTTTATCAGTTACTTACATGGCTTTTCAGATTTGAAGATTCAGAATCAACATCATATCTAAAAACAATTAATTCACAAATAAAAATCGGTTGTATTCGTTTCCATTAATAAACAAAGCATTCTTTTTTATAACTGGGGAATAATAATATCCTCTTAAAAAATCACATCAAGGGTGGGTCACCAAAGAGCTTCAATATGCTATGGTGAGATCGTTCCAGGAAAATAATTTAGAAAAGATTAGTGGTTGGAAGAAGTTTAATGAAATGAAAAAGATAATGATCCGTTTTAATATGATGTTACTATCATGGTTTCAATACTGTTTCTTGCGGCTTTAATGTATTTTTAAAATAAATGCAATCTAGTTCGGCTGGTACAGATTCACAAAACGTAGAACCAGATTACAGAAAATGCTCAAAATTTTGCTAGATTTCATATTTTCCAATGCACCATGAGAGACAATGCACTATCTGTTTGATTGTTTAAAACTTTTATCAGCTTTAAAAGGAACTCAAACATGGATCTCAGGGTGGGACTCCAATACCAAATAAGCTAAGATAATTTGTGCCCTAAAATCAGCATCACCGATAAAATAAACAATTAAATCTTAAAGCCAGAACAAGAGTTAATCTAATAGTGGTTATTTTGCAGCTTAAAGCAGCTCACGATAGAAAAGGTCCACTATATATAAACTTTAAATTTTTCAATTTCAGGGGGGTAACCTTGCTCAATTTGTATCCAGTTCTGTGACGTATCATGAAAGTATATTTATATACTCTGTAAATAGGTATAAATACACTTTGATGTAAAGATTGGCATCGAACGCTCCATGAAAGACTACAAAATAGTATTTTTCATTAAATAGGTGTATGAACCATACAGATTAGGGGATATTATCAAATCGGAATTGAAAACAAATGAACTGCACGGAACAGCAGGGGTGTAGCAAAATTAGAGGTACAAGAAGGGGGTCCCTCAAAAAATGTCTACAAATACCGATAGCAGCGTACCAGCGCTTGTAACCACCTGTAACAAATTATCATACTAACACTTCAAATCGTAGTTTCTGGACTTCTTCAAAGTAGTAATCGATCACAAACGCTTTTACAAAATCTGGATTTAATGTGTTCATTATCACTTCTGTTCGTCCATACTAAAAGACAAAAACGAAAACATGGCATACATAGTCAACTCCATAAATCAAAATCCCAAAAATATATATCCTCACTCTTCTCCTAAAAAGCTGTGTACAAACAGTACCTTCTTGAACAAATCTATTGAAATTCCACTTCATTTATTATTGAACATTTAATAAACTCGTAATTTTCTACACATATATTAAATTCTATTGAATACAGTTCCTTAAAACATCGGAATGACTCGTCAGTATGTTATATCGTAGAGTTTTGCCTCTCGTGTATCTTCAATATAACTGTCAAGTTGACAATCAATACTCATAGAATATTGAAAATACGGTAAGGGTGAATCAAAACAGAGAAATACGGCAAAATCGATTAGGTATAGTCATCAGAAATGTTTGTACACAAATTCAACAAACTATTCAAGATTTGATGAGAAAAACATACAAATTTTTCAACCGATGCATTATTATTTGTTAATTCTTGCTTTTACCAAATACTGTCAGATTTTGTGTCGCTCGTACTTTATACAAGATTTTTAAATTTCAATCTAAGTTTTTGCTAAGTTCTTGTCAATCTAATCGCTCTATCAAAAGCACAGCCGGAAACAGCCCTGTTGACCTAAGTCGCAATTCGACAAAGTTGTTAAAAATTATCACATACTGATTACCTGTATCATCGATTTAGAATCTAAACACAAAAGGTCAAGTAAAATATTTGCGGTGAATGAACAGCTAACTTTTTAAGGTAGAACCACCGCGGGTTTTTCACCAAATTAAATTTTCACGCAAATCTCACAGTTTTATTTAACCATAATGGTCTTTTCAGCAACCAGCACAATTTTTAAAAGGCAGTCATTTCCAATTTTTATCATTGGCATCAAATAAGTAGAATCAGGGGTCTAAAAATACAGCTGGTGATCTTTTAGAAAAGGGCAGAGCCTTCGCTGGCAGCTTTTTGATGCAGAACAGATTTTTGGGGAACATCAAGAGCACTTAATTATCTCAGTTCAAGAAACACATGTACTTTCTGAGGTCGAAATACACATGATGCAAATGATATATGCCTCTTTCTTAACTGCCAGAATGAAAAGTTGTGTTAAAAGCTATTAACTTCAAATCATAAGATAACATACACACAGTTTGTATAAGCAATCAAGAACGAAGCACAAAATTTTCATTTATTTGTATTTTATCAAGTAACAATTACCTCTCTCCAGTTTTTAGATGTTTTATCCAAAATGTACATAACCACAACTATGGATCAGAAAATATATTGATTTGTTGTTGTCTTATAATTTTTTTTTAGTATGAAACAATTCATTCATCTGTATTCATATATGAAATTAGTGTGTAATGTCTAATAGTGGAATAAAATTTATCAATTAAAATTTACCAAAATCAATTTATTCAAAATTCGAAAATGCAAAAGTCAGTAAGTGAATGAAAACTTCTATAATATCAATAATCACTATGCAAAAAGCTTTCCCATCATAGAACTTGCACTAATTGGTTGAGATGCAAAAAATACAACTTTAGATAGCATCATAATGAAAAAATTGCTTACGTGGATCAGATTTTGAGAATGTATCCATATCAAGTAGATCCCTAGATTGGAGGTTTTTGTTATAAGTTACAGGAATAGAATAAAAGCAAAGAATAAAAGCAAAGAATAAAAGCAAAGAATAAAAGCAAATAAAAAATCATTAGATATTTTTTGTTGGCTGCTATATTGAGATTAAATGGTGTATATTCTCAAACTCACTAAAGCCATTTAGAAAGTGAAGGCATATTGTGGCCTATTCAACAATGAAAAACATCATAAATATTATGATATAAATATTTTAGATGATATAAATATATAAATATATTATAAGCAAGGGTCACCTGCAAGATACATGCAGTTCTACTTGAGAGACAGGCCTTGCGATTTCCTGCTGTGGGGGTTGAGCTGGGTATTGGTGGTATCCTGGTGGTGGATAAGAGGAGCCTGGTGCTGCAGAAGCCATTTGTTGATAGTTGACAGGAGGGTATGGGGGATGTGAGGCACTCATTTCTTCTAAATTTGTTACTGAAAAAAACATGGTATTTATATAGTACCCAACTTTTATTGTTAGAGATGACCCTGATAAAAGAAATGACAAAGAGTATGAGAAGAAAAGATGGTAGAGCCCAAACTGGAAACTTTGTCTCTTGCATGGACAAGTTTACTTTGAATATTTGAGACTGTGTGTCTGCGTGCCTTGCATAAATTTTTTTTAACGTTTTTACCGTTAATATTGGTAAATGTTATTATCTGGCGATTTTGCGTGGCCAATATGCAAAAGCATGCAGTTGAGTGTGTTGGCAATATCTTGCGGTTGCGTAACAAAGTTTCGAGTCTGGGGTAGAGCTCAAACAGTTATTTTGCACCAGTGGAGATTACATTTTATTTGCATAAACATACTCTTTGTTGCATGCATTGCACGTGATGGCTAGATACAAACATGGTTTTCCAAATTTACAAGGCACAAACATACTTTATAATGAAAATGTTGTACTACAGAAACAATATTCAAGACGGGAATCTATCCCTGTTTCAGTTGGAAAATGCTGGAAAACAATCTCTGCATGAATTAGCACTTGTAATGTATCTCTGGCGCTCTCGCTCATATTATTTTGTTTGTCCTGGGTCACCCTGGGCTGGGAAGACTGGGTGTGTGAAAAATGAACCACGCAACACTGCTTATGCAGACTGGTGCAAGATTAATTATCTTAAAATTCGCTTCAGTCTAGAGAAAGATCACCTACCAAAAATGAACAATCCTATTTTAAATGGACATGCATATGGAATTCCAAGGTTCGGATTCAAAACGGTATTTTAGCAGTAGGCCCAAACAAAGGAGGCAAGCGCTTTGGAGGTATTGCTAAGACGGGAAAGAAAACATTGCTTGTTCAAAAGGCCGCTAACTTAATTCTACTCTGAATGCTTCGGCATAGATTACAGATCGCATGAATATTAATAACTCTAAGTTGTAGCTATTAAACTTACAATTGCTGCGATTTTCGAATCTTTTTGATGAGACACACCACCCTTTATTCAGAACAGAGACTGACCCAAGACATTCCAGTGTTTGTGGTTGTTGATGCTAATTTGCACTGGTCAGCAAAACATACAGTCCACCACATAATGAAATACCTCGATAACTGCAAGGTAATTATGTTACGACGGAATTTTGCCAATTCAACTGTTTTAATTTTATCCGTTCTGTGCCTAGCCATCGTATAGTTCAGTTCGTTCTGTTTCTGTTCCTGTAACTTATTTTTTGTTATTTTGCAAATGCTGTCCTTTTTTGGTCAAGTTTTTAGCTCTAGTTAATACTAGGTGACGGATGGCTTTGTAAATTCCTTTCTGCAAATAACTTTTGCAACTTTCCCTACTTCTCTCGCTTCAATATCCCCTTGACTTCTTAGACAATGGCCAATTGATGCTTAAATGTCTCTACCCTAATTCATATTTCTCAATCCAGTTTAATAATGTCTTTTATTTTCGAAAGCTCTTTGCCGTTCTTTCAGTGTATCTTTCTTTTCTTGGTTCTCCCTTGCAATCAGACATGATAAGTAAATCACCCAATATCACAGCAAACAGGAATCGATTAAAAAGACGGACTCTTGTTGCAATCCTATGTTTATTCTTCTCTTGTTAGCCTCAAAAGCATAGTTTATCAAGCTAAATGTTCACTCTGTCGCGCGGCCCCTTATTTCGAAGTTATGGCATAGATAGGCCTCAGCTAAGTGGACACATGAAGGGCTTTTAGAAAGGGATAGGGTCGGGAGCCTAGAAAGGATCCAGCCTCTAAAACTTACCATGCTATTTCTGGTTCCTTCACTATAACAAGGTAATTTTTGACCTGCAAAAGAACCCTTGCTCTTCTTTTAGCCATAACCTCCTTTCAAACTTTGTTCCGACGACACTGATATGTTTCCGATAACAAGGATTTCAGTTTCATTTTAAGAAGTATCATTTTCATAAAGAAAATAACATTAGCAAAATGTCTTTATGATGGTGCTGTCAGTGGTACTTCTTTACGTTGTTTCTTCTAAATTTGTTGCTTTACTTAAATCTTTCGAAACCAATATCAGTTGCATATTTTCGAAAGTATTGCCTGCAGAGGTTCAAACCATAATTTCAAATTAAGCCATGTGTGTTTGAGTACACACAGTGCAATCTGGATCCTGGTCCATGACTTTTTGGGAGGCTATTCCAGAAAGCTGTTATATGATATAAAAGTTTTAAATAGAGGTGTACCTCACCTACAGCGATATTTGAGCAACTTATACTGGTGGTTGATATAATTTTGGAACCAATTTTTGCGACATTGTCTTTAAAAATCAAAGGGTTGGTTCAACTATTGGCTTTTGATGAGTAGATATATGCAAACCTAAATTTTTAGTACAAGCCATTGATTTGGGTGAAAATCCTTGTTGAAGCAATACACTGCCTAGTCATCATTGATACGAGTTCAAGTTGATAAACACGATGGTAAGGGGAACACATGTCATCAGCATGCTCATAAATAGGTTGACAATCTTGCTAGCTTAAGCTGTAAAATAGAGTGAAACTTCAAACCAACAACATTTTAAACCGTGTCCAATTTCGCAAGCATTTGCAAGATATCCAAACTATCTTTTTAGATACAGGTTGACATATGGAATAAAAAATAAGTTTTAAATATGCTTTAACAGCTGCTGCTCAATGTTAAACCGTGAAAGCTTAAAAGACGACAGTTGAGAAAAGCAGATAACAAACGCTACAATATCAACATCCAAACATTGAGATAAAACTGCTGAAATTCATGGGTGGAATTATCAAATATGCATGAGATGGTAGGAGATCAAGAGAAAGAATCGACTTCAAATTGAGCGTACAGTTTTTCTAACAAAGGAAAATTTCGCGATACAGTATTGAACATCTGCACTACAAAGATCAGCGGGATGTGATCTTTCCCAAAACCTGGAAGAAGAAACAAAATATCATTTCAAGATCTGCCTTTCTTGAGAGTGTGTTCCACACATGGGTTTATTGCTTTGAGGAAAGGAACAACACTGAATGGTAGGCATTTTTTTTAATCAAATTTTGAACTGGCATTTTCGAGCAATACAAGACAATGAGTTTTGGTACCTGGTACCTGGTAGAAATAATTTTATATTTCAGAGCTTTGTTTAAGATTTTTGTGATGGCTAGTTCTACTATGTTTGCTGTATATGGTTCATAAGTGCTTCAAAACAGTTGTAGAATCGCTTTTCACCAGAAAAGTTGTCATTAATTGAATTTTCAAGTGTAATTTATGTTCATATTGAGGTTTGTTGCCTTTATAAGAACTGTTAAAGTTAAGCACAGACTATCCTTTATTCTTTCCAACGACAAGAAACCGTTAATGGGATCCTTTTAGTCAATTAAACAAGCGTGATGAGGAAGGGGTACACGTAAAGGGGCATCGGAAGCTTTCTCAAGCGGAGATCGAAGGTTTTTTTTATTGTTTTGTGTAATGGAGGTGCCTAGGGGGCCTAAAACAAAGCCCTAAGACAGGAAGAGAGGGAATAATTGCTAAGAAGGGAGAATTTTTTGTCAAGCAAGAAGATAGTTAAGTGACATCGGCAAAAACTGAACACTGATGAAAGAAAGCGGATCTTTGATGAAGACGATAAATAAAACGGGATATTAAACATAACTCTGTAGGACACCGGGTGAAAATAAATGAGGACTGGAAAGAAAGCTATCAAAAGGTCAACCTGATACATGTGTGATACAGATACAACATAGAAAGTTTATAAAGAAGACGGGTGTCCCAGACACGACCAAAGGCCTTGAAGATGCTAAAAGAGATAACTATGTGCCACCAAAGGATTCCAGAGCAGAATACCAAGCAAGCATAGCGTACATCAAGTACCAACAATTTCGGTGTGATTGAAGCAGGGCAACCGAAAATTTATCCCACCGAATATTTTCTTACCGAAATTTTCAAATGTTAGAAAAATCTCATTTTACACCATTTTACACTCATTTTACAAAAATTTTGTTTCTTGATATTATTTGAGTATTACTATACTTCCCATACAAATCAGTTTTCTGTTTCTGGTTCTTCTTTGTCATCAACAAATAAGATACACAGCTCATCTTTACTCTTTCGCCCTCTACATCCAAGAAATTTGACTTCTCTTTATGCATGTGCTAAACTGATGTTTCTAGCGGATCTTCATAATTTCTCTCAATTATTTCTTTCTATAATAAAAAATAATCCTTTCTCTATGATAGAAATAATTAAAAGAAAGTGTTTCATTTCTTTACTCCCCGAATTTTTTTCTTTCCACCGAAATTTTTTAAGTTCTTACCGAAATTTACACCGAAATTTAAAAAAATATGACCAAAATTTTTTCCAGCGTAAGTCAACCCAACAAAATTTTCGACATTGGATTTTTTGGTAATTGACATCATTAATACAACTCTTGACGTAAAAAACATTGGTGACCAGTAGGCGCCACGGGGGGGGGGGGGGGGACTGGGGGGACACGTCCCTCCCAGTTCTTGGCAGGATTAATTTTGCATTTCGTCGAAATCCAATGAGAAAATTTTGGGAGAGGGGTAATATTTTGGCAACGTACTTTTTGTGATGTAATCCTATGATTTTCAAACTGCCTTTACATAGCCAAAAGTGAGTAATGGGCGTTCCCTTCAGGTAAAAATTGCGTTCCTTGTTAGTAAAAGGGAGTTTTCTGGTGCTAAAAGGGGCGTGGTCCAAAATATTTTGTTTTGTCCCCCCAGAGCGTAGTGGCTGGCGCCGCCATTGTTGGTGACCAGAACAAAGGTTTTTTAGTTTCAAGGAAAATAAAGAGTTGTTTGGTGATAATGGTCTAAATTTTTTCAGAGATAATGAAAGTGGATTCAGACCTGTCCTTATTTTTTGATTGTGAAGTGTTTACTAGTTTTCAGGACAGATAGTATAAGAGGTAAAGAGCAGAGAGAGGTGTTTAAGAATTGGGGTAAGTTCTTGGCTTTTGCGAGATGATAGCTGCTTTTAGATAATTGAAGCTAGCTACTGACAGTTACATGAAGCTGGCGCTCATTCATTAACAATCGTTCACATTTAAAATTTTTTTAGTTTCTAGAGCTCAAATAGGACTTGAAAAGGTTTAGAATTTTTCCGTAATGACACCTTCTTGTTTTTCTTATAAAAAGTATCGAAGCTAGAAGTATCTGAGTAACACTCTTATTGGAAGTGATATGATATAAACACAGAAATGATTAATATAAAATAATACTTAGTAATTATATGCATGAGATCAGTCTTGCGCTGCGGCATACCGTGTTGCTTCAAGTGAACTGGCATGCAGTTTGCCTTTTAATACTGAAATAAAATTTTTAGCATACTTCATATTTGATATTTTCCTGCATTTCGCTAACAGTAACCAGCTGGAAATTTCATAGCGCGCAGCCACTTTCATAGCGCGCAAAAGAGCAATGTGCATATGTACCATTTTCAGTTTTAAAAAATGGAGGCAAAAAGAACAAGATTTTGAAGAGAGAATTTTATAGGGGCATTGCAAAACTTTCAGCCAACTACAATCCCGAACAAAAATGTTGAGACAAAATGCAACTTTTGTAATTTTCTACTTTTCCTTGCTCCTGTTAATTCGAATCCCCCCTTTCATCGTGAAGCAATGTTGGATTTGTAGGCCTATCATTTTTGCTTCAAATCATGCATTCAGTATTTAATTTGGGGCGGGGAGAAGCTATTTTTCAAAGGAAAGAGAAAACCTAGAGTTTTCTTGAAAAGTCTCAATTATTTTTGTCTGGGATTGTAGGTACAGTAGATCACGGAAAATGGATGTCTTTTTATTGATTGGGTCGTGAGCACTTAAAAGACGAACTGTTATCCATTTAAGGTAAAAGGATTAGCCTATCCTCTAACCTAAGGGAACGATTGAAGACCACTCTCTATAGAGAAAACTAAAGAAAGAAAAATTATTTGTTTAAATTCTCCTGCAATCATCTTTTCGAATCTCCTTTTACTCTTATTTATGTCTTTACAGTTATGCTTGCAAATATTGTAGGTCATTGTACAGTCCAGGTTACATTGCCAAAGGCTTTGCTCAGGAATAATTTCCTTAAGAAACTTTCTGTCCCCTGCCAGTTTCCAAAAACAGTTGCATGCAGCTTTGCTGTTTGAAGTACGAAACAAAGGTTAAGCAAATATGCACATGGTAAGGAAAATCGTTTTCAAGCAAAGAAATCGCCATACTTTCAGCCAGACAGGGTAAATCACTCACGAGGCTCATCGCACGATATTGAATTCATTGTAGGTGGTCTGATTCTGTTTGTGCTCGATATTGCCCCCAAAAATAAACTTACATATTTAAAGGGGACTTTGTTCCAGGCTCTTTGCACTTCACCGTGTGTTGATTACAGAAAGAAGCCTGTTAGCTTCTCACCATCCGTTAATCCTTGATACATACTTTAAGTCTGCTACTTTTTCGAAATACTTGATCTTGCTTGTGAGGCTAAGTAAGCAGAGAGGAAATAAGTCACTAGCAATATGACTATGCTGGCAAACAGTTGATAATATTCATAAACATCCAGGAACAGATTTATCGTGGGGTGTTAGTGTGGGGGGTTCTGCGACAGCGGATGACGATTTTGTGTCATTCGCCGAAATCTGCTTCGATTCGGTAAAAAGCATCTTTTAATAGTCATTAGAAACAAAAAATGCAAGAAAATCACTCAATTTATTAGTTTATTTTTTATCGTAAAGTTAAAAACAAAATTTCAAAAATGGGCGCTTCCAACACTATCTAACATCCAACTTCAGTTGATTTGGTCTCAACTTAACAGGTCTGCATTCTTTTCATCCTCTTCAATAGTGTCCTGATTTGGTAAGTGATATCTACTGTTGATATCGAGGCACCAGTGTTGTATACGAACCTTTCCTGAAGATTGATTTTAAAATTGTTAACTTGCAGTGGGAAAAGGAGTGGGCAAAATACCGATCCCTGAGTGATTACGTACACCATGGGTTTAATCGTTGAACTGTATTTATCTATGTAACAGTATTGCTTTCGAATATAAAATAGAATGGGAATGACTACCATGATTTGACAGTTAGTAAAAGTTAAGCGTAACTTGCGGCTGTCCTTTTAAGTGAAGGGTAACAGTTAAGTGTGCTGGTTGAGCGTAATAGCTATGTTATATACCCTAAGAAAACATTCAAATTTGTTGGTTAATAGCTATATTCTATTTTTCTAGATCTAACTTTCTAAAAAATTTCCGCAGATTCTTATTTTCAAATCATCTTATCTTGTTTGTTGATGCCTTCAGGCAATTTTAAGGGCGTGTACCAAAGAAGGACCTAACCCTCTTCGATGAATCCTAGAAACTTAGTTGTTTGGAAGCGTAAATCAATAAGGATACATGTCTTTGCAGTTTTGACATGATTGGACAGCAATGCATAAATTGTTGTCTTATTTTTCACAAGACATTTTAACAATCCAATTCATAATTTTGAAAATGTTTTTATAAAAAGTTTTGGAAGCAAGAAATGAATCAAAATATCTTGTATTGTACTCAGCGATTTCCTGCTCTTTGTAGAACGCAAGACAAAAACTAAATATAAAGCAAATATGTTGATGTTCAGTAATATAAATAAACGATTTTATGTCATTTCTAATGGTATTATAAAGAAATTTCCGTTCTTACAGTTGCTATCTAAAGATTTATCCAAAGAAATATTTTAATGCACTAATATTCATATTGTAAATCTCGATGTAAGAGACATTCAATATCTAAGTCCACAGTTGAACAATCTACTTTGTTCTTAGCTCCAGGGTTCTACTTCCTCAAATTTGTATACACAAGGTGGGTCTATTGTAACCATAAGATGTGGCTATTGAGACTTGTACATTCAGAAAAATTGCCGCGCTTTTCTCATGCATAATTTACATTTCTGTTGGAAACTCACAAAAGGATTTACTTCATGTTTATATGCAAACAGCTTACCGCTTTGAAGGCATTTGGGAGGATTTTGTCCTCAGATGTGAACAAAACCTTGAAGAAAACAAGAAATTGTTAATCCTCTAAAACTGCAAAGAAATCTAATTGAAGCAGAAATACACCAATTTTAAGGTAATTGTCAGTTTATCCTGTTCATTTGTTGTTTATCTTTTTGGCTCTGGTGCTAATTGAGCATGTTTCAAATTAAATTGGCCTTTTCTTTTTTAATCGTCAAGTCATACTACGAAAATACATATAAATCGCTGAAAGATTGTTTTCACAAGTAACTTTAGAAAAAATGGAATCCTGGCTTTTGGATAATAGTATTTTATTCTACCAGATTCTAAATCAAGTCTCTGTTCTCTGTGTTTTTTACCGGAGGATACATTACTATTTTATGATCTTTACCAAGGAGTGTCCTCTCTTGCAGACACTACTCCCCATAATTAAAGTCTATACGAGACATATACACCCTCGCATTTCCTTTACTTGGTTTCGCCACAATTGTACAGTGTGATTTATAACTATACAATCATATGTCCGTTGAATGATGCCATACTTCGAATTTTTACATTACCTTGTATTGCTAGAGGTTTCTACATAAGTTTTCAATACGTGTGAGATGCCGCTTTACCAGTGCCGTTGAGACCCATCTCAGACCTTGGGGTAAAATACACTACATTTGTATGCCCAACACATTTATGAAATTCCTCTGGGTTTCCTTGTGGCCCGGACCACCCTCTCTCGACGCCGCTGTTGCTAAATCTTATTTATTTACTTTCGGTGCACTAATATTTTCCGCCTATTTGTCAAACATTCATCCCATCTTACATATTTTCATATCCATAAATCCTGGCTTATAAACTTGCAGTGTTGAAGGTAACAAATTTGAAAAATAGATTGTATTAGTAGAAACACAGAATAAAAGTTTAATTGAACTTTCTTTCGTGTTAAAATACTGTTCAATGTTTAGCAAAATGCTAGGTTCTAGTTCATGTTGCCATTATTACCTTATTGCAAGGCATGATTCTATACAGATGCTAACGTTATTCTATGGCTCTATACATGCACACAATCTAATTGAACAAATGCCACGTCTTCAAATGACCTTAATAGGGCACTTCTTAGCCAGCACTAGCTTGGTAAATGGCAATTCTTGACACCGCTTGTGGTACTTTTGCAAGTCATTGCCTTTTCCTAATTTATCTCAACTCTGAATAAGATCGGCCATTGAAGAACTGAATTTCCTGGAAAGCTGCGAGAACGATAATCCGATTTGATCAATTTTTCCTGAGTGACCTTGAAAATGAATTGGCTGTAAAAATAAACACGCCTACGAATATTTGATTATCTGGATCTTAAAATTAAGTGAAAGCTGCTAATGAAGCAGATTTCTAAGGTCTGAGCTACCAAGGTCAACGAGTCTTGAAACGCAATGGTGTTTCAAGACGGTTTGTCCTGTCAGAGAATGAGATCTTCAGCGGTGATGAATGACAATGTGACTTACTATGGAAACGGGGCTACAACCTATAATCATAGAACATGCTATAGGAGCTGTCTAGTTTCCATACTGCTCGACCTGATGACGTAATTAGTTTTCCCTAAACCTAACTCTAACCCTTAACCAAAACCTAACCCTAACCCTAACCCTAACCCTAACCCTAACCCTAACCCTAACCCTAACCCTAACCCTAACCCTAACCCTAACCCTAACCCTAACCCTAACCCTAACCCTTTACTTGAAATAATTAATCATACTAATTTTTGACTATTAATCATGCTTATTTATGACTAACAGGTCAAGCAGTATGGAAACTAGACAATTCCCATGCTATAATGTGGGCACATCTCGCCCTTCCACCTACTTCTCAGAAGGAGCAATTTTTGTATTTCGTCCAATTTCGACGGGAAAATGTTGTGGGAGGGGTAATTTTTTTTGCAGAGTATCATGGTTATATGTTAACAGCCTTTATGTAACCAAATGTTCGTTCGTAGTTCGTTTATGCAAGTGTTATGGGCGTTCGTAGTTAGTGAAATTAGCATCCCCTCTTTGTAAAAAAGCGTTTTCTGACAGTACAAAGGGTGCGGTCTAGATTTATAATTTTGTCCCCTCTCCAAAGCCCAGTTGCTGGCGCCGCCACTGATACCTCGTCTAGTTACGCAAATGGGGACTTGACCCTCATATCAGCCTTTGAATTTGCCTATAAATCTCAAATCCATTTACTCTTGCTTTCATGACGGCATAAAGTTTTAAAACTAATAATGTGCTAGACAGCAAAGTCGTTTGTAGTTAAACTCGATACTGTTAGCCGTTGCTAAAAAGATTTATTTTTTATCTTCACATAATCAAAGTCACAAATAACAACTGTTTGAATACCAGCTTCCAGACTCTTAAATCCGAATGTATGATTTTCTTCAGGAGGCATTTATTGGGCGTGGTAGGCGTGACACGTTACATCAAAACACCTAGAAATACCATAGCGAAAATTTTCACAGATAAAGCCTCAATAATCGTTTAAGATATGAAGATCTAGCTAAAACAGGAAATTACATGACCTGTTTAGGAAATAAAAAGAACAGTCGATGTTGAGAAAGACCAGATGGATGAACGGATTGGCTGTATTTGATCGTGTCTCGAAAAGACACTGGTTGACAACATGGAAAAAATAATGGAGGATGTTTTGAGTCTGTTTATTAGTAGCAAGAGAACAAAACCCTCACCAGCTCCTGTGCCACCACATCTCTTTAAATCCACTGATTAAAAGATATCGCCATCTTCAAAAGATCATTTTAGTAATCACACAAGTTTGTTGGCTGACTCATTGACTGTAACAGAAAAGGAAGGGTTCCGCTGTGCTTTCAAACTGAATGAAATGTTCTGTGATACAGCGAGTTCCCGCTTAAAAGTAACTTAATTTTTGCATCGGGGTGTCTAGTTTCCCAAAAAAAAAAAATTTTAAATAAGGCTAGCTGATTTCTTTTAAGTCCATTTAGAAGCTCTTTTCATTATACTTTGTTGTCCAAGTGCATCTTTGAATTCAAGGATCATGCTGCGTAGTAAACAAGGATGCCCCAAGAAATAAATATTTATATATTAAGTATGAAACAATATACATACTCCAAACTTTGATTGAATTTTATCAAGTTTCGCCCTATTTATAAGAAGTTGGCAAAGAAGAAAATATTATCTTCGCTGGCAGGCTGCCGATCCTTATACGGGGATGTTGGTACGAGGACTAACTGTGTGAGGACGTTGATTAGCGACGAGCAACGGGTATTATATTCCACGGAAGACTACTGTTGATTCGTTGATTTGGTGTTCTCAGTTTTCTGTATCCATTCATTCTACTTGCATTGATTGTGTTATGTAAAACTAATGAAATCCTCCGGTTATTAAACAAGTTCTCCTTAAAACTATCTAATTCAAACTCTTTTGCTTGTACAAAAATAAACGTTACTAGAATAATCATTAGAAATCAACGTTTCTGAGATTCCCAGACCGCCCCGATCCTTGGCTCAGTGTCACTTGAAGGGACAAGTTTAGTTGGATTTTCGACTTAAAGTCGGCATAGGCCAATTATGGTAGACAATTTCCGAGCTTCCTCCTACACAAAACTTACTGCAATCTTTGATTGATCGGATCTCGGCGACAGTTGTCTTATGTTTTGCATTTCGAAGTACACCAACTTACGAGATCATTTGAACAGTTATTTGAGGTTTTCGTGCTCAAGGTATGTTTTTGATACAGGATGAAGCCGTGTCATTTAGTTTCCATGATCAGATAGGTTCATGATTAACTCTGAACCTCAACCCGGTAGCGCGGTACAATAACGGCTCTGTACGTGAGCAGGAAATCCAAATTGGATCAAGAATATGAAAATATCCAAATAGCTGGAACAGGTTACACCAATTTTCTATCACAGAGGCTTTGCTTTAATAAAAGCATTATTTCCCGGAAACACTTTCTATTAAAGTCAAATGACATAGTCAGATTGTCATTGTGGTGAACTGAGCTCAGGCAAGAAATGCTTTCCTAGAGTATCACATCCTTTGCCACACCCTTTTGCGTTCTAGATGAGTGTTCCTGGTGCTCATCTATGAAAAATTAAAATATAAGTTTTTATCAGACGCAATAAACTTAGAGTAATTTGGTTTTCTCTTATTCTGCCCATTTCAGCAATCGTTTCACTTGAATTAACTTTTCAAATTTCGAATCGTTAGGGCTAAAAAATCGTACACTCTGCCATATTGCAGCAATACTAATCACTTGAATTGCAGTTTTGCCACTTAAAGAGAGTGTGGCAAAAGGATGTGATACTCTAGGCCGAATACAAGTGTTATAAGTTACAAGTGTATTCATATGGAACATATAGTTGCATTATATGTTTTGGTACTATGTGCAAAACATGTGATACTATATTGTATATCATATGTTTTACAAATAGCATAAAATGTGGGAGATAAAGATAAGTTATGTACAGAAATTGAATCTAAGATATAATAAAATAAAATAGTTGTTCATTAAAATGGAAACCTTATAAATCTGATCAACTCAAGGCATGAATCATCGAAAATTTTTTTGCCTCTGTTAGTTCGAGTAGTCGTGTCAAGTAGACTGTTTTTTTAACAATGACTACTGTCCGGTCTCTGCTTTGGACTCGGACTTCATCTCAGAATGCCTTGTAAAGCCTGAGTGCCTTTTTTTCTTCCGTTTGAATTCCGAATTTTCTTGATAATTTTTTCACCAGCGTCCTTCAATGTATGGGATGCTTAGTCTGACAAGCCTCTCATTAAAAACATTAGCCTCTCATTAAGAAGAGCGGCTAACACTGGATCAGATGATCATTGAGGTATTTGCTTGACCTCAAGTTAGGAAGTTCACCGTTTGCCGCGATTTCAAGTCATGTAAACAATGTTTATACAAACAGTTACTTTGCACTATTTATAAGAGCAAGCTAATATTAGCAAGCACACAAATAACCATTACCTAGAATTATTTCAATTTATATTAATTTAGAATTTTGTTATTTTTATACTGTGATATTTCCGTTAGTAAATGCAAGCTTCGGCTTATTGTTCTGCAAATCCATGTTATAACAGGCTGGTTTACTTACTTTATCCCTGATGAGGGATTGAATTTATTAGATCTAAATCGTGAATCACGTAAGAAAGCAGTTTTGCTTAAGAGCCATAAGTTGACCATAAATCCAAAAGAACGTGATTACAAAGGGGTCCCTTTGGCGACCTAGGCATCACTAAGCAGGCCTTTATTATAATTGGCTGGTAGGGGGTGTTCGTCGAAATTACTCAACTAGGGATGTGACCAGGCCCACCGAGAAGCGTGGGGCATCAAAGACAATAACAACATAAACAATTACATTTGTAATGACATCATCATAGGCCCATCTTTCTATTTACCCAGTGGTCTAGAAAAGCTCTCGGCGGGCCTGGGTGTGACAAAAATTTACCTGAATACAAGGTTAGGTTAACGTTCTTTAATTTTGACCCAATATTGCCTTTCCTACTACAAGAAACTAAAAATGGTCTATCAATGAGTTTATATGGAGTAGTTGCTGTTGTGTTGAGAATGATGCAATCAAAATTAAAGTGGGGCCCTAGTCACTATTTCCAAAAAAATAACGTTCCCGTCAAATATATAATAAAATCTCATTTTCCAATGATGGAGTTTCTTGGCGGAGTTTTAGCTATAACGTTATCAGTAATAACAATGTTGCGAATACCAAAGCCTCTGTTTCTCATCGTCAATAACTCTATTCCAGGCCAAGTTTCTCTCGTTAAATCTGTCATCATACACTTAGTGTACACTGCGAATTCGAGCTGAAATCCAAAGCATTTTCAGGTTAAATTTCCACAAATATCTAGAGACCTTTGGCTTGATTGAAGATCAGTCCGGGCCTATGTAGGATAAGGTTGTGGCTTTTTTATACGGTAAAAAGCTTGCAATTTTAAAAATAAAATTCATTAAGGCGAGCAGCGCAAGGAATTAGAAGTTTCAAATCGGTTGTGATTGTTCTTCATTAAAAAGTGGTTTCAAGATAGATACAAATTTAATTTCATTAGCGAGTAGACTTTGCTGCCCAAAGACGAAAGCGTGAACACGGTCGACTTTGATCAAATAACCTATCCACCGCAGAGGTTGATTGCGATCTCGACCGTAGATGAGCTTAATCTGGGCACAGATTTCTGCTTCCTCATAAATCATTATGCGGCTGCAAGTAGCACATTGGTGCAAATCTTAATGCTAGATGTCTGAGAATAGATTTCAATTCTTTGTAGCGACAGGCAGTTGAACACAAAGCGAAGCAGAGTATTTCAACGACTCGGTTGCGGATGAATTGAAAAGCAAGACGAATATTATAGAAGGTAATACTTTACTTTGATACCTATCCAATACAAAACTGATATTCAATGTAATTTCATAAGCATCAAGAAAGTTTTAGCAGCGAAATATTCTTTCATAGAAGATTTTTTCTAGCTTTGGGGCAAGAAAGACTGTTCTTATTATGGAACGAGCAACAGGAAATACATCGAAAGTTACAAGGGCTTTACGTGACTTTCATCAAGGAAATTGTTTAATTCTCTAAGAATTTCAACTATGAAAGGTAATTATAGAATAAGCTAGCATAGAAAATCAACGTGTAGGCAAAAAATCTTGTTAATTTTCTGTCATAAAACATTGTGCTTATAATATAATCTTAGTTTTATGGTTCGGTCTGCAGAACAGTTTACGAAGTCAGACTTTTTGATTTGTAAAACGCAGAAAATCATGGCGGGTTTTGACCAAATGCTTAAGCATCCGCTGTATAGTTTTATTTGTTCTTTTAAAGAGAATGAATTCATTCCTAAACAAGGTCCTAAAAGACAATCAACACTATGTTTGAAACAGCCTTTCCTCGGCAATTCTTATTTTCCGGAAAAGACAGTTCCATTAGAAAGAAATCATGAAATCATTTCGTCATTCTGAAAGTGAGCTTTTTCAATTTTGAAATAAAGAAAAGAAAAATAAACAGAGCAGTGCCATGGGAAAATACAAGGCTCGTCGAAACTGCTTGAAGCGAACAGACTCGAAGATTAAGTCATTGAACGTTACGGCGAAACTAGGGAATCCGATAGGATAATCCAGGTTTCATACACGTCGAGGAGTTTTTTGTCTGCGTTAACCAATCATAGTTCGCTTAGGGCCAAGAAACGCTCTCCTACCAATATGACATCCAGCAACACATGATACCTATCTGGATTCGATTTGTTCGTCTTACTTTTCACAAAGATTACTCGCCACCCTCAAGGCAATATAGAGGGATACCCAAGAGGGCCGGTAAGAAAACCGGGAAAAGAATTTGACTGGGGTCTGCCTTTTACGGATAGAAACCGTTCTTTCAAGACAGCTAGGTCCGTGTGATTTACAAGGAAGAGACGAAGCATATTCTTCCAAAACTTTATTTATAGATGTCCAAGAAAAGATCTCTGTTCCAGGACCTCCAGCCTAGGGGGGCCGGGGAACCATGGCTCCCAACATTCTTGCAAAACAATAGAGCTTTTCTCAAAATCTTTAGATATGGTTGTTCAATTCTCCCTCCTTCCTTATCTTGAAAAGAGTAAACCCGCGTCGGAGCCCATGGGTTTACTCTTTTTACTCCACTATTCTCTAACAAAAAATAAATGTTTATGCATGTCAGATTAGAAATCGATTGACCTTCTTCCGCTTTACTCTTTTACAGAATCTTAAGTTTAAAGCGTTCGGTGTACTTGCTCAACCTGATGTCTGATAGTACCTTTTTGATTTCAAGCAAAATGTGCCGACCAACACATTCAAAATTTTAGTATCTTATGTTTTCTCAGAATTCTATAGATTAGTTTATGTTGATTGCTGGATTTTATACCGTAGGCAGATCGAAATTTCTGGTGACAATAAGGGACACCTTGATAAAGTTTTTTCTTGAATATTCCCGCTTAGCGCATGAATGGAAAAAGTCCTGCTGTCCCAAATTGCGTAACATCAATCTTTTACAACGGGCAAAAGCATTCTCGTTTATCAGCTGACCTCTCAAAGAGCCATCCTTCGGACTGTCCACCTCTTAGTTTTAGACTTTAGCTAATATATGTTTCTACGTAGTGGAAACAAACTCTACTAATACGGTCTTGAACAGGGTTATTTAGAATTTTAGATACAAAGGTGATATGTAAAGCTGAAATCTCACTGTAGCCCTTGAATGGGGTTCTCCGGGGTGTCAAACTAGAATTTGTTTATCAATCCCTCCTCTGTTCTTGCTTTTACCCTTTACGATAACAAGGTGTCAGTTTGAAGATTTTGTTGGCTTTGGCCACTTAAAGGCAAAGGATTTTTGCCACCGGTAGGAAACACAAGAAGATTCTAGCGCCAACCTAACCAATATTTGATTGATACGAGATTGTGAAAAGTATTTAACGAAATAATTGATAATATTCCATGTCCATTATATTCATTTGAAAAATTCAAATTATTGCTGGTACGAAAAAAAGAAAAAAAATGCTTACCAAGCTACTTACTGTTCTTGGGGATCCACTGGTTGATTTGACCAACCTAATCTGGCAGAATTACCCGTTAAAACGCTATGAGCCTGGTCACGTTCAATAGAGAACGAAGAGACACCAATAATATCGGATTGTTGCGATGCATTTGGTTATTCAAAATATATCATATATAACGCGTGGCAATGTTAAGCTACAAAGGTTCGAGGCGGCTAGTAACGGAATCTTATCTAGTAATCTGAATTGTCTTAATCCGAGTTTATCATAATCTGAATATGTCGTTGGAAGTTACTTTATCCTAATTTCACATCGACAGTGTGTTTATAAATATCGGAAATTGCATTGCATGTTCAAATCAAGCTATATCTAATTGTGCAGATAACATCAAGCATGCTACACGCTATCTTACTTGATCAATTGTTCAGGGCATAAGTGATGTATGATTCATAAGGATGTCACAATTTATTGATCAAGCGAAGTCACTGCAACAATCGCATCCAAACAGGATTTCTGTCGGCTTGCGATTAAAACAATGAAAAATTTTAGCCAGCTTTGACAACTATAACATGTTTCCAATAACGATTCTCTTAAGACTTGAATCTGTTTCTTAAACTAAAGAATCGTTTCAAGCATAACATGAACACAAGAAATTTGAAATTTGTCAAAGGTATGGCAAAAAGTTTCTTGTCTGCGAGAGGTGACCAAAAAGATGAAGATAAAATAACTTTTCAGTCCGTTGCAATACACTTTAAGAAATATGGGCGATTAAAGCTATAACAAATGTTCTTGTAGTTCGTTAAATGGTCTTGAGTAAAGTTAGCTGACATGCAACATACATAGACTGCCATTCGACCAAAGAATTTGGAGAAAGTATTAAAGATACTTTATTAAGAATATAGGATGTATATCAACTCAACCTTTTCTCAGCAAAGCTCAAAGTGCTTTCCTCAAGGAAAACAATAGTCCACATTAAAGTGAATATTAAGGCAAAATAACATCATATTTATCGTAATTGATATCTCTAACTAAACAGTCGATTCCAGTACAAATGGTTTTGATTATGCTAGACACATAACTAAAAGCTTTGATTAAAAAACCTCCCAATCCACGACCTTTAGAGAAAACCTATAGCTTCCATAAATCTTCCCTTGTTTGAAATCGTGAGTACTGAGTACGATTCTTTGAATTATACAAAACCCGATGGTCAATATAGTAATACTGCCCAAAATTAACTCTCTTTTAAATGATCCAGTTATGATATTTTGTTTTCGAAACCTCAGTATCAAAACTAGCTTACTTTAATTATGAAAAGGTGTACATTGTCTGCAAAAATCCATATGATAACCAACATATCGTCAAATTTTACGTTTTCCATTTCTTGTCCCTGCTTCTAACTGGGCATCCCCCTCCTACCCCAGAATCAATTATGATTAGAAAGTAGGACGTGGAACTGATCGTGTAGAAAAGTTTGTCACGTATGTCTTAACTTTGCAATATGGAAACACTGTTTGAGGAGGGACGGGAAAGGGCGAATCTTGAATTTCTGAACGCTTTGATAGTGATAGCGACATTTACAAAAAATCATCTACCATTTTCGCTTCTGATGCACACCATAGGCACACTTCGATGATTTACAGATAATCAAATACAAAAAATGTAGCCATAAGCAAGGGCATATCGAAGAGAAAGATCACTTTAGATTATTCATATGTCAGAGCGACAGTTGATATCTCCTAAGAGTCCAGAACACGGGTGCAGATGTGAAGGGGGAGCTAGAAGTCGAGGTTTTGTGGAAGGGAAATTATAATAATTCTATAAAATAACAAAGAAATCTCGACGTTTAAGCTCGTTCTAAGACACTAAAACATCTGCTCAACTATTCGTAACTTTATTATTTCTTTAATTTTCTCCAAAAGCTTTCAGATTCGCACGATTTGTACAGAAATCCTTGCAAATGCTTGTCTTTAATTTAAGCAACTCGGAGTAGTATGCAAATCTAAGTAATTAAAGATGAGCCTCTTTCCAATGACCTAGTGAAGGACTTTATAATGAAATACCACAGGGCATGCTTATCAGCTGCAGTTGAACTTAGAGCTCCAAGCTATTTTCATTCGAGACCTTATCAGTGTCTGGTCGCCACTGTGTTATTGTCATTCACTTAACCTGATTTCAATGCTAAGTTTTTGCGCGCAGTGATATATACAGAACGGATGAAAGGCCTTCTCTTCACAATAATCTCATTTCGTCCCAGCGTTGTTCCGACAATAATTCTGTGTCCACGAAACAATTGCTTGTATGAGTGATTTGCGGACTTGCTGGAATACGCGAACAAGATCGGCTACGGAGAAAAACAAACGCTAGAAGTTTCGAACGGATTGTCATCTCGTTGTTGAGCATGTTAAATGGTGAAAGCGTTCACTTGACGTCGAATAAAAGCTATTAAAAAGAGTGGCTTTTGGTTGGCAACGAGGAGCTTCTTCAAGATACTGCTGCATGCCTGCTGAAGTACTTGAGGTAGATTTAAGGTATTATATAAAGTTTTTAAAAACTCAAACGTCTGATTCAATTATTTGTTGAAAACGGAATGACATTCTAAGACAGTCAACTTATGTATGTGGCTGCTCAAACTTTTGACAACTACCTTAGTTTTGACACAGCTTGTGTTGCGTTACGATTTACAACAATTTGTTTGAAAGTGTTTAAACGTTATCCACGCTCAAAGTCCTTATAGTTGATAAAGCGAAGGCTTGGTTATTTCAAAGCTGATTTTGTTAGCTAGTAATATTGCAATCAACTTCTTCCAGCGTCAGTATCCTTGACAACGTATTGTAGTTTATCGTAAGAGTTAAAAGCCGTTTTACTTCGAAGACATTAGGCAGAATACTAGATTGCTAATTGCGATAAAGGAAGTGATCGTCGCCATCTTTTACTTCTAACTAAAAGTGAAAACTGTAATTTAAAGTCGGTTTGATTGTTATTGATGTCGTTATTTCTCTTAGACCACTCTGAATCTAAATGAAGAGATTGGTTACTCAAACCTTTGTGAAAATAAAAGCTCTATGTAAAACAATCTTCTACGTTCGCAAAACATCCAAAACAGTGTATAAAAGTTTCAACAATCGACAGTTCTTTTACAATTCTGCCAAATGTACGAAGTAGAAAAGATAGTTGATATCAGTCTGATTTTTACAATGAACGAATTTCGAATTTTTCATTTACCCTCATTACATGTTTTTTTTACCCTCTAGGTTTTTAGATCAAGTGGATATTCGAGAGCATCAGCAAGCTACCGCACACGGTCTCAAAACCCTGCAGCACCTTCGTGTTTTGTCGTATAGGTGTAAATATTGTATTGGCGATTGTTGACTATTGTACACGAACAAATCACCGATTTTGGTAGCATTCAAATATATGTGTTTAGAGCATAACATAAGCAACGTGTCGCCGACCCTTTGAGACTATCAGCAAAAGACTGGTTACTAAAAACACATCACGTGGGAATTGATGTAACCAATGCTAGAAAAAACATAATTACAAGGAAATATCCTGCAAGTGGTCGGCCAGTCGGATTAAGGTCGTAAGAGCAATATTCGTTTTACAGTGAATCATAACGATTTTTCATATAGAGCAGGCTTGCCAGGTACATTGTTTGCTATTGTGTGTTGTGGAAGCCATCGTGTGTGTATTGAGAAATACTGGCTTGAGAAAGATGACGTGCATGCAATAGATTGAACACTTTTTATTGCGTAGTCAGTACGAAGAGGGATCCGAGATGTTGAAGCACAAATTCAAAAACCCAAGGGTGAATAACCAGTACCGCAAGCCGGCTTGTCACACAGACTATTGCTTCCAAAGGCGAGCTTGCTGTAATAATTATAGGTGCTGCGTTTGTCATTGCTGTTTGGAAGATTTTAAAGTTTACAGTAAAGCCCACGATGGATGTATTGGGAATATAACATATACGATGACCAGCGAAGACATTGTTTCCAAAGCTGCACCAACATCTCGTGGCACAACAGTTCAAAAGGCTGAGAAACCAAAGAATACAGGTATGTTGACCTAAGTTTTATGTTGTGGGGAAAATCTGATGCACGCAGAGAACCGATTTCGCAACAAGATTCAATTCAGAGGAAAATGGGATTTTGTATTTACAATTAGTTGGGGTTTAGCTCTCTGGTTTAGTAGAAAGAGTTAGGAGACAATCTGATCAAGCGTGGGATTACAATCAATGAAATCTATTGTATGATATTTGACAGCAGAGCAGCTACATAATTGCGAAATGCCAATGTTGGAAGTTATTCAAATCGATCGATGTATTACATAGCGTAGCTGGAAAAGAGCTCTTCTTGTTTGTGAGCAGCGACAATCACTGCCAAAGTCCCCTTTACATCAAGAAATATTTTGTTAAGATAAATCTCAGAAAGTCACCGATTAACCTACTGCACTCAAATTATCTTGAAATAAGAAAAAACACCAGTTTTTCGGATGATTCAGTTTTGGCCAGCTTTCGAAATTGTTTAGCAATCAGTAAAGCGATCGAAATTTTTTTGGTGCTCTCCCAACGCGTTCCTTATTTCCCCTGATTTTCTTTTATCTTGAGATGAAAAAATACACCGACCTACTCTACATTATTGAAAACTTATTTTTGCTCTGGCCAAACACGCTTACAACTCTCAATGCTGATTTGATGAAAAGATTTAACTCTATTTTCTAAACATCTATTTGCAAAGAACCAGCCTCTTTAGCCTCTTTCAGTTGTTCAGGCTTCGCTATAATTGAAAAGCAGAAATTTCTTTAATGTCTTGTTATGAGATTATCAGCCCCTTAATCTTTCTAGTAAAAATAACATTCAATAAAACTAACCACTTTTTATGCAGATCGACTTTGATATTTTTATAGTAATCGGGCAACAAAAAGTGATTTGGTATCTCTTAGTTCGCCAACGAAGCTTTTGGTGTTGCTCAATATAGTTAACTGGTGCAGTCTGTTATGTGATGTAACCCAATCAAAATTATCTACACGTTTGCCACTGTTTGGTAGCTCTTTCCACGTAAAATTGTAATTTTAAATAAGGTCGTAGAGTTCTGTGTAGAGTTCTCAAAACTTTTGCAGACTTACAGACAATACGGCCTAGGTAATTTGCTGTTGGTTCTTCATTTGATTAACAAATAGAGCAGTATCGTTAGATGAAAGTCAAGTGTCAGACGAAAGCGTTTCTGGGATAAAATTCTGAGAACCCGGACCCCTACAAGGGCCCGTCCGAGCTTCCTCCGCGTATGGGTTAATTGCATCTGTTATCTATCCTCAGGTTTTTCCCAGGCCTGAGCTTCCAGCAAGATATTTGATATTGAATTCTGACATGTAGCGTTTATTTTCCTATGGGTGACTCACAACTCCGTCTTATCAAACACAACTGTTGAAGTTAGTTAGCCTTGACCTTCCTCTACTTTGTTTTCCTTCTATTTTTTCTGTGAGCACTACATTCTCCAATATATACCCCAAAATACTCCCTTGAGCATCATATGCCCCAAGAAGCTCTGCTCGACACTTCCAATAAAGTTCCATCAGTCCCTGCTTTGTTCAGAATCTCCTCATTTGACACACGTTTTATCTAAGATATCCTAAGCATTCTTCTATCAAACCATAACTCTGCAGCCGTCAGTCTATTTTCCCATTGTTGGTGAAATGACATTTATTGACAGGCCTCTCTTCTCGTTTTTTTCTAACAGTCACTATCTATTTTTGTAGTCTCTCGTCTGATTTTCCAATCTATGCTGTATCATCTGCAACTCTTATATTATTCAATTTGCAACCGTCAATGATAAAACCCTCTGATCTTTTTAATTGGCTTAGGCTGTACTTTCCAATTTCTTCACTATAGAGGTTAAATAAATATGAAAACAAGGCACAGTCTTGTCTTACTCCTCTCTGTATGGATGATCTTTGAGAATCATCAGATAGAAAGTTTCAATTGATCTGAGGTGAGCCTTGGGGCATTCATTAAACGTAGAATCTTAGAATTGAACTAAACTGTCCTCTTCGTTCTTTGAAATGATTGCAAGAGATTGATTGTAAGTACTGTTTCATCTTCGCAGTATCATCATCATCATCATCATCAGGTTTCAATTCATGTTAAATTCAATTTCGCTTAGATCCTCTGTAATAAACTAAAAATGCATCAGCCGCTTAACGCAATTGATTTTTGCTAACCACATAAATACTGTACAGGGTTTCCTTGCGACGATCATCGATAAATACAATGACCTTATTCATCCACTAATGCGATTTCTCAGGCTTCCTCACCTGTAATCGCGTACAGATCCTCTCTGTAAGCTAAGTTTCGTTAGTATACAGATGATAATTAACACTTGCATTAAAATCTGTATCATTTAAACTACACTATTTAGATCATCAAATCCTCTTTATTTCATCCTGATCCTCCCCTTTTAAAATCTCTTACCCTGTTTCCTTTGCAAGTTAGATTAACGAACATAGAGAAAAGAAAAGTCTTAAATGGAGTGGGAAGAAAAAAGTAACTTGTTCTTGTTCTTATTCTTCTTATTGTTGTTCTTCTTCTTATTCATCTTTATTTTCTTCTTCTCCTTCCCACTCTTCTCGCTTTTTCTCCTAATCCTTGTCTTGAATTTTTAGTTTCATTTAATCTGTCATTTTTACATTATATTCGTTTACTATATTCCTTCTTCTCTTCTTTTGCGTTTTTGAAGATGTTATCTTGAAGACTTAACATAATCAGTAGACTTGAAAACACTTTCCTATGGCTTTGGCCTTTAAGAAAATTCATGGCCAAAGGTTTTCTCTTAATGACTGTTTGTCTGTACCAATCCTCAAGAATGCCAAATTATGCATGTCCAATATTACCTTTGATGTGCTCTAAAGTTGCATTCATTTAATGTCTTGCTATTACAGCTTCGCTGATTTAATGTAATTAGTATAGAAGCTGGTGTATTGACTCAGGTATTTCAATGTTACGTTATTCGTCCAGAAAATATGGTTTTTGAAAGATGAAAATGAATATGTTTATCAACGGTTTTGCAAAGCCTAATCCTGAAAGAATCTTAGATTAAGCAAAGAAATTATCAAAACATAGTTAAAACATGTTTGTAACGATAAGTGACTAAGCTTGTTGTTACTAGGAATAGCTGTTCGAGCTATTTGCTTACGAAGCTCTCTCTCTGCATCTAAAATTTCGCTAAGACAGCAGTAATCCTTCTGTTAATGCCTTGTTAAACCTGACCTAGATAAATCCATGTGATTTCGCTGGTTTTTAACTTTATTAGAACATCTTATCAGCTTTCTATCTGCGCTGATGGGAGGGACAAGAACAGCATGGAGACTGATTCCTGTGAACTTTAACAGTTACAGCATCTTTCTTGATGTGCTGAGTAAAACGTGTTTCATAGCAGTTGCGTTGCAATTTTCACTCGAAAAGATGACGAAAGTCATTCTCCTCACTTTTACAGTCGTTGTCCTCACCTCAAAACCGGCCAAAATTTCAAATAAACGCCATGCCGAAATTAGTACACACTCGACAATACGTTTTGTCTATAAGTATGATCTTATTCATTGTCTAGCTTTTTATTACAGTAGATATGTGCTGTACGAAAAATTTATTTTCTTTCTTTTGGCATGCTTGTTCCTATAAATTGCTTTGATTAACCAATTTCTCCTTGATTGAATATTTTATAGACAATTAATTGCTTTCACACACCAATAAATGCTAGTTTAAATTGATGCATCCAATGAATGCAAACGAAGTACAGAAAAACGAAGGTAAAATCGATTATGCATAGCAGATAAGAAACGAAGAGACACAACATTAAACTCTTCCGCAAAGTTAGAGGGAGGGGGCTGTGGCTGGATGAGAAGAGAAAAAATCCTTCGCCATGTAGCTATCCTTCGGCTGATTAATGATTCTGATTCTTGGCAGTAAATAGTTGTATTTACCTATCCGGCTTCTTAATTTGTATATTCTGCCTGAGACATGTAAGTTATCATTAAGGCACATTATCATAAAATTGGCCTTCGACTGTCGCAATTTTCAAGTAAGATGGTGGTGGAATCACTACCCGAATTATCGAAGACTTTTCTTAAGATTTATTTTGAAGGACAAATTCAGCTGCATTTGTCTATAGGCGTACAAGCAAAACATTGAGGATGGTAATTCCAAATGCAAGCTTAGATACCTACCTATTGATGCTTAAAGATCTAAAGATAGAAACTCTTTTCATTTGAAATCATTTTATCATATACCTTGGCTAGCATTTCAAAGTTTGACCTACAAATTGTCGTACAAATCTTGGCAATGTTCTGTAAATTCTTTCTGCAAACCAGCTTATCTCTTTCTCATGTTTGTAAAAGTCATTTTTTTGCTAATTCAATGACAAGCAAGAATCACCTTTTCATACCTATACTGACTTTCTAACACAATATATAAAAGTACTTGTTTATATTCCTTTATTCAATGATGGTTAGAGTTATTCAAAATATATTTGCAGTAGAGACAGATTCTGCAGTTGTTGGGTTGGTATTGAAATTACAATGCATATCATAGTCAGGTCTTTTCAAGAGACCCTCCACAGTCTGACCGATAATTAGAATCTTGTAAAATAAAGGCATTTTATGTTTTATCCTTAGGCGTCTCTGGCTTTATTTCACTTGTGCGCCATAAAACCATTCTTTTCATCTTCTAAACTTAATAGCGTTGAATCAAAGTACGGAATAATCGAATCTCTGTTCGACCACAATGGTGCCCTTCATGCTACGGGTTGACAAATTTAGTGGTTTTGTTATATCATTTTGTTCTTTACCCTCATTTGATGATATATCATACAAGGCCTGGGTAAACCTTAAATTAGATTATTTATTGTATATATGATCCCATAATAAACTAGGTTATCAAGAATTTGATTAAATGATGTTCGTGTCTGTGAGATCTTATCATCGTAGATGAATCAATTCCGATGTCCTCAGCACCAAACTGCACAAGACGGTTGCAAAACCCTGCTCACTATTTGTAGGGCATTGTGTAACTGTTCTTTTTTCTGTCATCTCGAGTGCATTATAACTGTAGCAATTAATCAATAAATTACAAAACTACCATTCATTGAAAAACGGCTCTATTAATAATTTTTTTATCTAAGTTATAAAAAATTTCAATCAAGAGAAAATTTCAGAAGAGCTTCTTCACTGTCTGACCCTGATCTTGATTTATGATAATGAATACTTATACCATATACCTTATATCTTCGACATTGGGAACAATTTCAAGTAATCCCAGCCTCGCTGTATGTATGAAAAATGTAGAGTAGAGGAAGTGATGATCATGTTCTCTTGATTTCGTATCTATTTGAGACGTGTAACTGTGTGCCTTATAGCAGGCTGGGCATCGCTAGATCTAAGAGAATGGTTTTATCAGATCCAGACTGAAAATAGCATCTTGTCACATTTTGAGGGGGGGGGGGTATTTCCCCTCTTCCAATGACCCACAGTGCCCTAGACCTTGTGAAGGATATTGGCAAAGATATTAGACATCTAGTAAAAATTCTTCAAATGGCTATTACAAAAAAATTTATGAGTTTTACTCAAAGGCTCTTTGTTAGCCCTTAATTGTAATTTCGTGTGTCTAACCGTCTTAATTTAGAATTATATAAAGATGACTAAGTCGAGAGCTAAGAAGCGTTCCGATAGATTTTCTTCAAATTATAAGGTACGCTGTAGTAATAAAGTGTTAGGAAGATTAAACTAAAGGAGAAATTTGTTTGAAAGCTTTTATTCTGCACCCAATAGCTATGCATATTTTAAGGATTGTTTTTATTCTGACTCCATGGTTTAACAAAATTATACTTTTACATTTAATGCCATCAATTTTTCGGGATTTCAGATAGCAAAAGAAAAAGGTTTGCATCTACCATCACAGAGAAATCGTTTCTTCGGCCAACCACGACTATCGATGTTTTACATAAAACTGAAGGGAAAAAGACCAAACATGTTCCATTCACTGAAAAAGTCAAGACAACTTTACAGGCCTGGCAACCCACCATTAATGTAAGTTCTTTCGATATTTATGCAAAGGGAAAAATGTTTACATAGCAATCATTGGTCGTAACGACTCTTTTAAAGCTGTTTATATAAAGACCTCATTAGAGGATTTACTTATGCATAGGGTTCACCTGCGAAGACTTGCAGATTTATGTTGCATCCAGAATTCACAAAAGCATATTTTATAAAACGCACAACCATCTTTATCCACGACAGTGCTGAAAAAACCAAAACTGTTCTAGATTTTATCAAAAAGCGTATTACAAATATATACATCAATAAATGCATAGATTGATATATGCAGTAAAAGAGTAAAAGATACGTCAATTGATATATACAATAGAAGTTGGGCATAAAATGAGTCAGGTTTCCTGTATCAGAGGCAGCTCAGTGCTTTAGCTAACATGCATAAAGTCCTTTTTGGAAAATGAAAAAAGATGGGATCCTTAAGAACAGAATGAATTCCGTACAGCCTTTTCCGGATGAATGTTTCGCGTATCTAACGATGCAAAACTCGAACAAAAATAGGCCTATATGAATGCATTCAATCGAACTTAATAGCAAGTCTAGCCTCGATGTTGTCTCAAGCTGTGGATGACAATGGAATCCAAAAACAGGTGTTTGGTGTTTCTGATTCACAGCATCTCTCATTGCAAATTGCAAATTATTTAGTCAAAGGCAAGTCAATTATTTCGTTTTTTTATTAGATAAAGAAATGAATTGACTGTTTCTCAAGGAAACCAGAATTGGCAATGAAAAGCTGACGGGAAATCCTCTCTTTTTTATAAATCTTGATGAGATTATGCTCTTAAGCACGTTTTAGAGCAAGCAGATTGGGCGGGAGCTAAGTAAATATTGTAAGACAGTCCACTGATGGACATTATGCTGCATGATTCTACCCAATATAGAGTTTTCAAGTGTGACGTCACGAAATATTGAAGTATATAGCTAGTTTAGTGTGTATTTATCCTCTCGAGTAACAATCGCATCAATATAACTGTGGATTTATAGCAATCAAACTTTCAAAAGCGCAAAAAATGAAATCGCCGTCAATTTCTATATCTTAAACGTAACTGATACACACGGCTATATGCAAAGAAAGTACCCAGTGGTTTATGGACGCATCGTTCTTGCAAATGATTTATTGTGATTAGAAACATCTTAACGAGGCTTCATTTTCACACGATTGAATAATAATCATTGACGACCAATACTCCTTTAAAGAGATACCCGATTGCCTTTTCGATCTGCTCCACATAGTACTTACATATTTTACACGATGCAAAACGGAAGCGGCGCTTCACTGACACAGCTTATATTCAATGCGCAAGCAACACTAGGCATTATGAATGACCTACATACCGTAATAAAGTTAAATATTTGACACTCTTTCAAAATTTCTGTGACTATCGCGTGACATGGTAATTTCGGATCTCTGGAAATGGCTTCAAGACCATAAGAGGAAATGAACACGTGCGAATCGAACATTTTATATGGCTATCAACGGATGTGTCAAGTCTCTAGAAATAAGCTTCAACCCGCCTTGTAGAATACCATAGTAGCTGGGAAGAAATCTTCAAAGACTATGCGCATTTCTTTTGCTCTTCTCGTCAGTATTTGACGACTTTGGCCATTGATAGTGCCTCGCTAACATGGTCCAAGAATGCCTTACAAATATTAGTATCTTCTCTTTTATTGGGACTTAAAACCACAATCATATGAGCCTGGCTGCCCGGGCTGGCTCGGTTAACCTGGCTAAAATCAGCTCGCAATCATATGAAGTTTTCCCAGCCCGCTTTGACGGGCTGAAGAAAGCCACGTGACATTTGCCTGGTTACGTTCTTTACGTTGACCGCCAAGATTTAAAAAATGGCTGACAACAAGGAGAACATATCTGCGGCTCTTGTAGCTTCAACTTTATCATTTCTACAAGCAGTATGCCATGGCAATCACAGTCTATTGCTTTTATGGAGGCTACAATAATTCAAATACCAGGCAGCATTCAACGTGAACTTTTATCTCAAAAAGAAGGCCCTTTGAAACGAAAAAGAATGTTGAGCCAACGAAAAATGGAGAAGAAGAAAATAACTATTTTGTTTCATCTTGATTGCACAGAACAATGGTGGATCAATATGCTGTTGGGAATAAGCGCAATTCTAGTATTTCCAGCCCACTTTGCCGTGCTGGAGCTATCATATGGCAAAAGTCCAGCCCGTTTAGCCGGGATCCCACTTGCCAGAAGTGAGATCTCGGTTATCCGGGCCAGCCCGGTTCTCATGTGATAGCAAGTTGCGTTTTGTGAGAGTTTGTCACTCAAAGTGAGATTCCGGCAAACCGAGCCAGCCCGGTGAAGCGGACCGAGTCTTCTCATGTGATAAGGCCCTTAGAGTCCAATTTATAACTTCAAGTGTGTTAATTGCACCTACTTTTATAAGCAACATTATTAAATAACCCAAAGCCTTACCAAACGCCAAGCAAAAATTAAAAGCTTCACATATTGCTGTTTGTGCAAATCAAAATGAGCTTTTCTGGATCAAGCCTCAAATCCACAAATTTACTGATGTTTTTGCAGCAGCAAATCCTCAGAGTTATTTTATCTAAACAGATGCTGGGCCAGAATCTCTTATTTACTTCATCTCACAGTGAAGTAGCTTAGATAAAGTGCTTTTAAACTGCATTGCGACAACCTACAGCAATTTCAACATCCTCATTAGGTGTCAAGACAGTAGCATCGATTCGACTTGCTTGGTTCAATCTTAGCTTTCTGGACACTATTTGATAATGGTATTGACTTAGGAGAAGAAATTAAGTGCATGACACTGAGTTTACTTATTGAATTATACACAAGGTTAAATTCAATCAACTGTTTTAATATGAAGAGTTGTTAGAAAGATAACAATGGAATCAAACAATTTCTGATTGAAATGGTTTTGCCAAATACTTTTTCTTGTCTGCTGAAAATATTTCACTAGGTTTTGTACCAAAAGCAACATAGAGTGCTTATAGTGTGCAAAACGAGAATTTGAGGTGCCAGATTTTAGCCTTTCCGGTGATTGTTCAAGATTCGAAGTAAAAAATTTTCTGCAAGTATTTTCCGTCCCTGAAATGTTTTAAAATTTGTCCGATGAACACATCGGGATTTTCTTTTTGATAGAGAATCTCAATGGTAAAAAGCAACTTTTCATTTGCATTTGAATGAATAACATATATAACATGTATATAATAACAAATGAATAACATATACAACATTTTTATGTATTCTATGTATGCATTAAATGCCTGCCAAAATACTTTGGAATCACCCAAAAGTTTGAGCTGTTCTTTTGCTTTTTTAGTTTTCGTTCCCGAAAACCTTGCCATTTCAAAGTAAACCGGCATTGTCTAACGGAGAGAATAATGGCTGGATCCCCCTCCCCCCCCCCTGAACTTTAACCGTGATAATACCTTGCATATCACTAGTGAAGAGGTTACAGCTTGAAACTCAAAGCATGATTGTGATGTGAAGGGCGAAGCTGAGTTAGAGGCATAACGAGTAAAAAGACCCGCTTTCTTTATTGGATAATCCGGGAAAAGCAGCTTTGAGAAAGTGGATTAGTCGTGAAAAACAACATAAATATGTATCAAATTTATTGTAAGGTGATTCGTGGAGTGTATGTTTCTGTCATTTCTGAAGCTAAAGAAATCCCGGTAAATTGCCTGTAGCCACAAATTCTAGTACAACTGCATAAGAGACAAAAGAGGAATGAAATCATGGAATGTGGAAAACACGTTAGGCTGAATGTCAGTAAGGAGCAGCAGCATATTAAGCTTCTTTTCATTTAAAGTTTTCCTTGGTTTTGCCAGCGATTTATTACACAGCATGAGCCATGCCTAATCGTCTTACTTGAGAGAAATTTTTTTCCAAGGAATCTTACCAATCACTTATAAAACTGTAATCTCGAGGTGAGGCGATCAAATTTATGGCAAAAATGAACTCAGCATGGTTAACCAAACTTTCACTAGTGGCTGTCGTTCTTTGATCATCGATTCGAGTTTTATTGCCAGTTGCCTAGTGGAATAAAGAATCCGCTTGATTAGAATGTGGAGATGAGATTATGTGGAAAACACACTACGATGTTTCACGGAGTTTATTTTATATTTTCGAGCTAATTATAAACAAATGTTTTATCTTTGGAATTAATTAGTACGGGAAAATTATGCGGTAAAACGAACGGAGATAAGAGCGAAATTTGTAAAGTTTATTGAAAACGAATCATTCAGATTAGCTTTAATGGCTAGAAATTTATTGTAATAGTTTGATGAGTCAGTATTTCTTAGGAAGAGATTATTTTGAATAACCGTAACATTGCTCGAAGAGAGCACGTGGTTAAGAAATAGAGCGCTAAGGGATGCTTTGATTGAAGGGGGTTTCAGGCAGCAAAAGAATGCCACCATGCTGAGTATTACTGCATGAATTTAAAAGATGTTGGTGCTATACGACCAAAGATGGTATTTTGCAATGCAAAGTGGCTCTCTTGAATAATTAGCAGTATTATGTGATCGGCTAATAGCAAGCAGCTAGAGTGTTTAGTGATATCTTGTGATTTTTGTGATCACAGTGATTTTGTGATATGATGGTGATACTTAACAATCAAAGATGATATTTTGCAATGCAAAGTGGCTCTCTTGAATAATTAGCAGTATTATGTGATCGGCTAATAGCAAGCAGCTAGAGTGTTAAGTGATATCTTGTGATTTTTGTGATCACAGTGATTTTGTGATATGATGGTGATACTTTACGATCAAAGATGATATTTTTCAATGCAAAGTGGCTCTCTTGAATAATTAGCAGTATTATGTGATCGGCTAATAGCAAGCAGCTAGAGTGTTAAGTGATATCTTGTGATTTTTGTGATCACAGTGATTTTGTGATATGATGGTGATACTTTACGATCAAAGATGATATTTTTCAATGCAAAGTGGCTCTCTTGAATAATTAGCAGTATTATGTGATCGGCTAATAGCAAGCAGCTAGAGTGTTTAATGATATCTTGTGATTTTTGTGATCACAGTGATTTTGTGATATGATGGTGATACTTCACGATCAAAGATGATATTTTGCAATGCAAAGTGGCTCCTTGAATAATTAGCAGTATTATATGGTCGGCTAGTAGCAAGCAGCTAGAGTGTTTAGTGATATCTTGTGATTTTTGTGATCACAGTGGTTTTGTGATATGATGGTGATACTTTACGATCAAACATTGATTTGGCGTTAACAGTGATTTGGTTATATTTAGCGATCATAGGTGATACTTTGTGATGCATTTTGGCTCAGTTAAAGTATTCGTCGTATTTTGCAATCGACTTATAACAAGCAATAAATGTGATATGAAGCCACATGATCTCTTACTTGGTTGGTTTTAGCTGACATAGTGATAATTTTTCATATCATGCCTTCAGTAAATTGACATAAAGCATTTCCAGAAACGCAACATCTCATACAATATTCTTGAGCACTGGATACGGTCGTTCTGTCGTACTAATCAGTTTATAAGCAATTACTAGCATCAGGGACTACTGAAGTTTCAAATCAATTACTAAATTGTTCTAATGAGTAAAAAGATTTTCTATAAAGAAATAAAATGCAACTGATCACAGTATCAAGTGGTATAAGTTCTAAAACTTTCGCATTTACAACCGACCTACAAAGATAGATATGATATTTGAGAAGCTGCTACGGCATTATACTAATGTTAGTGGCATTGACTGAAGATTAGATTCCAGGTTATAAGCAAAGCAGGTTACGATTGATTGGTCTTCGCGTAACTAATTGATCATGATTTTATCAACTTTATTGATTAGAAATCACACTGTAAAAAAATGATCATGTTTCCAATGACAAATAGTTTCCAATAATGACTTGTTGAATGTTTATTAAGGACAAAGAATATCGACCATTTGGTTGGTTGGTACTCGTTAATTGGATCATGGTTTCTGTATAGCAGAAATCGTCACGCGAAAGTTGGCGCCAATAAATGCTTGTGCATTGTAAACGCAACCTAAGGGCGACGGATACTTTCGAATACGGTGCGTATTGAATACGATCCGTTTTCAATGTGAACGCCAAAACGGAGACATTTGAATACGCTAACACCGGCAATACGTGCTTTCTAGCACACCAAATCTAAAATGTATTTGAAATAGAGAATTCAAAATGGACTGGTAGCTGTTACAACAAAGTTTTTCACGATTTGCTTTTATTTAATTTCATTTATAATGACGCCAATTTGTTGAGGATTCGTGAACGCCTTTTTTTCAAAAATGTCCTCAACAGCGCTTTTGTTAGAGTAGTGTGAACACCCATCGTATTCACATCGTATTCATTTGAAAACCGGATCAGTGTGAACGGACATCGTTTTCATCAACGAAAACAGAGCGAAACGAATACGGAGTAGTGTGAACGTAGCATAAGGCTATAAGAAACCTAATGACTAGAGATTGTTTATGGAGGTGACTTTTTCAACAATCAAAATGCTAAATGACTGGTAGCTTGAGGCAAATTATGAATGAGATCATCAAAATCCTTATTTATTGCTGTCAAAGTCAAAATAAAGCTTAATCAATTTTGTCAGATAATTTGTCTATATTGTTCTCGAAATCGCAATACGAAACAGTCTTCAGTATCTAGTGATATAAAAAGCTTTGTTTGTCTGGAATCGATGTGTGAGTTGGCAACACCTAAATCAGATACCTATTTATGCCAAGCCTTTGCCTGCATAATTAGTGTCATGCATTCTGTGAATATAGAAGTCGTTTGAAATGGCAAATGTAGAAAATTTAGGTTGTGATGGAATTTCTAAAACGACATCTTGCTAAACCAAATCCGCACACGAGCTTACTGTTAAGTTTTGGAAGATTTTTCATTGCCTTATCTACTGTGAATAATTTATCGCTGTTAATCCTCCTTAAATTCATAATTTATATTAATCGTTTTAATTCCATGGAAATGCTGGAATTTCTTTCTATTTCAACATTGATTACTTTGACCTCAGCCACTTCGATGGAGATAACAGACATGTTGGGAAAACATTTTCATCGCTTTCAGGACTAGCAGGCTGGCTTTAGAAGCGAATTTGGCGAACAGCTTAGCATTTGCTTTGTGCTGCTCTAAGCCACGATTTTGCTATTCTGATCAAATTCCTTGCAGAAAAGTGAAACAAATGCTGTCTCATTAGGCAAATATTCGTATAAAGCGTCGTGAAAATGAATGATGTCTTTAATAAACATGGAGATAAAAGTAGGAAAAAAATTCCTTCTACCAAGCATCTCAAGGTCATTTGCTCATTTCAAAGCTACCTAATTTGAATGACGCAATATATCACAAAATTTGAACAACAATTATCAGCTTAACTGTTCTAAGAAAATCAAGATAAATGCATGCGTCTGAAATTCAAGATAAATGGAGATCGTGTTAGCAAACTGTTCAGAAAATTGTCCATCCAAATCTAGGGTCTGACTCGCTCATTAGCCTATCCCAATCAATTATGCACACTACCTTTCGAATTGGCTCGTTTAAATCCACATTTTGGTAGAAATTACGTCCAGCTTTGCTCTGAAAGGTAGGAAACTGTAAAAGTAATTTCTGATTGATGGTCTACCAGTCTAGTATGTGATCTTTATCACAGCTAGATGTCCTGTTATTCCAAAGAGATTGGTAAATCTAGCAAATTTGAATACGGGTTTATTATATTTTGGGAGGTGGTAAGTTAATTAAAAGCAACATGGTTGAATCCTCGATGTTTAAATCATACAGTGGGCATAAACAAGGCATCATCACCAGAGCGATGAGGCTAACAATTCCAACAAGTCCGGCTCGACCTATTCAGATCTATATAACTTCGGCAGATACTCAATGGGAAAAGCAAATGAAATGCGTCAGCCATTCTCTTTCCAGGAACCTGCATTTTAACGTTTTTCTTGACAAAGCCTAATTTGAATTTATTTTTTGTAATGCCAACAAGCCGCCTGTGTTAAGAAAAACAAAAATCTCTAAGTGTGGTCTAAAAAGACGAAGTTGCTTTGTCAACTGACGATAAAATTGTGAAACCTGTTTATAAACACGAAATAAAAAGAGTTAATTTTTTAGAGATTGTATTCAACAATTGACTGATATTTTGCAGCAATGATTCATAACAAAGAATTTTGTTTGATTTGAAAAATACACATTCATAATAACGAAAACACTTATGGTGATAATAATGATAGAATACGAGATTTGCAAGTTTGCACAGTAACTCTGAAACTTTGCTTAAAACATCGCAGAAAGAAAGAGTGTATAAGAAGACAGAAAGTTTCGAAATCAGAAAATAATTAAAAACATACTAAGCCTTTTTTTTATTTTGCACCGTATTCCGTAATGTTTTTTTCTCGATTTCCTATTACACTAAAGAATTACAAACCAAAGAAGTACTTTTTAAGACTACAAAGATGAACAAATTATCATGACTACCTGGAAATTATCTGGATTTTAACATAGACCTAAAATACAAAATGCTACAAATTCAATACAAGAACGATTTCACAAAATTGAAGAAATATAACATGTTTAAAGAAAGTTCAGTTCATAAAAAGTATGCGTCACAATCTTTGCTAGACTTGGCTTTTACTTTCAATTTCAACATTTCGTAAAAGTTGAACAATCTTTCACAATGTCTCTTACGATCACCAAGTTGATACTAATAGCTTTTTCATAGAGGGGAATTCTTCTCCTCACCCTCTTAAAAGCTCCAAATCCAATTGCATTCTTTTAGGATATAACTCGCCTCGATTTCAAATATTCTCTTAAACTTCAGGTTTTACAGTCATAATTGTGTAACTTTGAATGTGGTATTTTTTCTTTATTTATTTAAGAGCTTTTCAAGAGAAAAATCACTTTTGGGTAAAGATAATTCTAACTATGATATGAAATGCTAGATTATTTTTGAGTCATTATTTCTTCAGATAGGTTAAGATCTTTTAAACAATTTTTTTAGTAACTAAGCTCCATAATTCATTTTAGAAATCAAGAAACTCCCAAGGAAAAGTTGGCTACAGCAAAGCTGTACGGGATGACAAAACAAGTACCATCGCAGGCGTTGCTGTTGCACTTGCTCTGGTTGCTATAGTTGCAATAGTTATTGTTGTTGTGATATGCAGTCGTAGAAAGAGGCAGAAGAGGAGCAAAACATCAAAGCCAGAAACAAGGTAGAAATCTCCGTGTTTTTTTCAAATAAATTAAGGTTTTTGTTTAAGCATTAATCTGAATGGATGGAGCCAGGTTGTAAGTGAAAGCGGCTGTAACTCGCTTGAACCTAGCTCCATTCTGAGTTTTAACATGGCACTTAACATGCTCGCTTGAATCTAGCTCCATTCTGAGTTTTAACATGGCACATAACAAGTCTCTGTACAAACGCCTTGAGGTTCATTCATGCACACAACACGTCTTAAATTTCTGCAATTGACTTTAAATCTCTAATTTTCCAAGATTTGTCTTAATTTCAAAAGTCTATTTATTAGAATTTAGATTTACTGAACACAAACCAATATACAAATACAAATTACAAAAGATACAAATTACAAAAGATACAAATTACAAAAGATACAAATTACAAAATATACAAATTACAAAAGATACAAATTACAAAAGATACAAATTACAAAAGATACAAAAGAGAAAAGAAGATTTCGTTCATTCCAACATAAATTGTGTTAATACCATTCAGTTTTTTTACATCAAACTCTTCATGATCCTTTGCTACTGTAGCGATTTGAATTCCTTTTTGAATACTCATTAAAACATTTTTCATTAAAACATCAAAACAAACTAATTAGAGAATACCAGATCTTTTTGAAATCATATGCATATTTTCCTAATTGGAAGAGAAACAGTTTTTTTTCAAAATGATTCAATTTTTGATAATCAAATGCTAGCTTTTTCCGTAAAATTCCTATGATCTGCCTTCACTGTATGCAGACAAGGTTCATTTCTGAGAATGTCTATTTTCCTAAGCTATACTATACATTTGTTTTTAGTGGAAATGATGCAGCTGTTGTTACTATTCCACTGACCATTGAAAACGGTAAGAAAAATGTGAAACGATTCTCTCTTACTCTATTAGCTGTATTCTACATGCATTCTTAGATATAAGCAAAGCACAAATATATATGCAAACTTAAATGTGAATGCACTTAGGAATCTAATGCACTGGACATTGAGTTGCTATGCCAAGTTTACTCTTAATGCGATCATCAGACAACTGCTAAATTTGATAGCAATTAATAGTTTTAGTATAAGTCTGTTGTAGTTACGAGTGTAGTTACAAAAGTAGTTACGAGAGTAGTTACGGGAGTTGTTACGAGAATAGTTATTACGAAAATAGTAACGAGAGTAGTTACGAGAGTAGTTCCAATAGCTGTCTAATGGTCGCAACTTAGATCGATAGTTTTAAGCAGTGAAGCAACCATCAGTAGCACTAGATTAACTTCTATTTCTTAGGTAGAGATCTGGGGCTAGTTTTTTCCTGAAAAGTTTAGATATGAGTCACGTTTTTTATTTTCAGTTTCTGACAAGTTCCGAGATGTAACAGGAGAAGGCAGTGTTTCTGACACAACACTGGACTCGAATATGATTTTACTTAAAACTGCTGAAAAGGTTAACAATAGCTATTCAAATGGAAAACTTTGCAATACCAATCATGGCTTACAAGAGGAAAGAAGGCGTGGAAAGGAGAGAAAGAGATCTGGAAAACAAAGGGGAAACAGCAGTGCAGATGAACATCGCAACTGTGATGATGTTATCCATCGAATCTGCAACGGTACCACAACGGCCTCGAATGAAACGTCAAGCATGCTACCGGTGCATGGAGAAGAGGCAGGCTTAAACAATCATAGTCATTCATCAGGGGCAATGAAGTATCAACACAATGGACACAATCTTCACGTAAGAAATGGATCAGTGGAATGTGATGTTTAGATTCGTTGAGGCAGGCATTCTCTCCTGTGTGGAGACATGTAGTATTATACCAAAAAGTTGGTTATGGCATTTGTAGATTGCCTTTACCAATGAATAGTGTCTTTAATTTTCATGATGATGTACGATTTAGATTTTGAATTTCTAGAAACCTTATTTGTCTGGATGATGGTTTTACATTATTCTAAAATTCACTGCCGTAAAAGTTAGGACCAATTTATATGGCGGTATTTGCCTGTCTTCTATTAACACTTAGCCGGGATAATACTGAATTTGTATGCATGTCGGAAAACCTAGCTTCATATAGACAGGCACTTGGAATCTGCAAATAACTTTCAATAGCAAAATAGAACGAAAGTTTTAAATTTAATTGGCATTTAATCCCGAGTTTACCTAAAAAAGACCACAATTTAGTAAATTTTTAGATATCAAATAGAAATGATACATATTTTTCATATTTTGTCTTTGTTGCAGCATCGTTTTTAGGAATAGCGAGCCCCGGGGTTGGTGCTTGAGATTATAGTCTCTCTAAATAAATTTGAAGCATTTTAGCTTTTATATTAAGGTGAAAAAGGACGGTATCTTTGATTGGTTTTGTTATGAGATACATGTAAAGCCTGTCATTTTTTCCTTGGTTTTTTAATATTAGAAGAATTAACATTGAATCTGTTTATGATAGCGATCACAAACTATCATTGCTTTGTTTCTGTTGTTCTCTGCTAATTTTCAAAACAAGATGATCAATAACTTCAAAGTCATTTACTAATCTAGCTTTTAAGTAAAAAGCTATCTTTTTTAAAAAATTAAACTGCAATGCAGGCATTGAAACTTTAGACAAAATTAAAATGTTAAGTTAGAAGTATACGACAAAATGGGGGTTGGAATTGCATCTTTCTAAGCGGCCTCCAGTCCAACTATCATGTTCCAACTATCAAATTAATTCCAGCATATTCCTCAATATGATCCAGTGAACAAAGTTTGGAAGCAATGTTTGAAAGCCTCTTTGTTTTTAAAACTTGCGCTAGCACGTACCTGTAGTAGAGGAATTCTATCGCTGTCGAAAGTTTTTTGTTAATTGGCATAATTGGCATTATCTTGAAAGTATGCATGGACATCGTCAACGTCTTATATCGAAAAGTTCATTATATACTAAAATGTAATGTGTTGAATGCTTGAAAATGTCATTCTAGACAGCACAAAATACTAGACAATTCAAGAATTTGATCAAAACTTGGTTCCTTGAAAACAAGTGCGCGTGCTCGTTTTGCAGTAAGTAATCTGTCGTATGCAATCCTTGAAATTGCTTTATGTTAGTCTTAATTAATGTGTTTTCACTATTGTAAAAACTAACATCAAGTAATCTATACAAAACAATACAATACAATACAATACAATACAATACAATACAATACAATACAATACAATACAATACAATACAATACAATACAATACAATTCTAGTGTAAAAAATCCTAGTATAGGACAGCCTCTCGAAGAAACAGTTGACGCAGCAAGAAGTAAAAGTATCTAAGCTGTTCGTTGTTCTTGGTCAAACGTAGCATCCTTCTACGATCAAATCTCTGAATTTTCATGATCATTCTGAATTGGATGAATTACAGAATTGCTTGCACCTGCATGTGATATGGCACCTTGTTTGAGAAACTTGAAAAGCTAAACACTTTTTGATAATAAATTACGCTCAAGAATAGAAATCGAGATTTTAGAATTTTGGTGATTTTAGCACTTTCAAGTTTTTTATAGTTTCGTTTGTTTATAGTTAAGTACCTCCACTGCTAAGTAAATCCCTTTTAGATATGGAAATAACCAATTCAGGTTATAGTTAACTGAACGAAAACATTAACTTTTATTATTTTATATTTTGATATTATAAACCTAGAAAGAGCTTTTATTGCTATGCCAATCGAGTCAGTAATAATTACCTTATTGTCAAAAAAATAATTTCTATCCCATCGTTGCTATCAAAATGTGCGTGCAACTATTTACTTGGCTTGGTTTTCAAATATCCGTCCCTCTTTCAAAACACTTTGCTAGAATTTTAAATTTTTGTTGAATTCACGTGAAGATATTGAAGATGCAAGTTACTTCTTGTCTGGTGTTTAGAAGCAATGTTGCTATAATATGACTTAGCTTTGAAGAGAAATGCGTTTTCAGCAAGAGGAATATTTGCATTAGAAACGCTCTGATAGCCCGTTGTGACTCAATGGATAGCCCGTTGAGCACCACGCAAGTGACCCGGGCTCAATTCCCCTTCACGTCATACCATCGATCTGAAACTCTTGAGTCGCAGATTCAACACAGCTCTCCATCCTGGAAACGCTGTAGCTAACAACTGGTCACCAACAATGAGGGTCGCGTCCATCAGCTGCACGAAGTGGCGCCAAAACATCTACAGCCGGGTTGGTAGGTGACGCAATTTGCTTTGTACGGAATATGCTGTAGTTCGCTTTTTTATATTCTCGTAAAAATTTTACAAAACAAACAAACTACAAGACGATACCTCAGGGAGCATAGAAATACCGTAAATCCTCGAATTAGCCCCCTGGGCGCTTATTTATTTTTGAAATTTTTGGATGGGGGCTTATTCGAGGGGGGGCTTATACGAGAGGGGGGCTTATAAAATTATTGTAGATATATTGAAAAGACAATTCTTACCAAAAGTATAAATTCAATAAAACGCCATAGGCAATCTCAGATGGCAAAAATCATCAAATGGAGGGTTCAATTCGAGAATTTACAGCAGCAGTGGGGGCTTATTCAAGGGGGAGCCTATTGACAATTTGTAGTTCTAGGGTGGGGGCTTATTCGAGGAGGGGGGGGCAATTCGAGTATTTACGGTCATAGCAACCCTGTAACTAGTACATTTAACATATTCAAATTGGAATTACATGAAATGGTACAAATTACATGTTACAGATTACTCATAACAAATGACACTTGCAATGATCAAGTTGCACAAAAAATAACATTGACAAAACAAAACAAAGAAGCAAAAGACAAATTATATAAGGGAGAAGATTTGTAAAACTGCTTACTAGAACCTTTCAGAAATCTGAATATATTTCAATGTTGCCTCCAGAATTTTCAAATTTGAATTCAAAGATTTATGCTTGATACCTCTCAAGTCTTCGTTGTTCTGCAATTCTCTTTAGCGTTCAGCTCAGTATTTATCTATACTTATCAGTATTTGCTGACTGCCATTATATAATTGCTTGCAATATAATTGTGTTGGCAATTTTCACTGCCACTGACAAAATCGTTCTTGATAGATTTATTAGCAATTTCTTATAAGTAAGATGGTCTTTCTAAGAATATTAACCAATGTTATTTTGGAAAGACCTGCCTTGGCTAATGAAAATATACTCGAGCTCTAGCAGTCACTCTGTAAAACAATCTACTCGATATAAAAAAGCTAAGCTTGGAAAATTCAAAGCTTGAAAATGGCTTTGAAAAAAGCAAACATTTAGTAAACTAAAGCTTTTTGTCTGACACTCTTCAGAGTTTAAAACGTCAGAACATAGACCGAAAACTCTACGCTAGGAAATATATATACCCAGGTGTGGATCGAAATAGGCCAATCAGAAACACGAGCACATGACTGTATAGGTTGACCAATCAGTGCCGCTTGCCTATTGAGAATGTTACCAATGGAGTCCTAAGGTGAAAACTAACTCTTTTTGTCTACACAGTAGCGGTTTTTTTGTGCTTATAAAGATAGATTCCAAAACTGCTAGGTGGAACGACGATCGGGCTTTACCAATCGTCGTTGGCATTTTCAAAGCATTTTTAGTTTTGTAAGCAATGGGTGGACAAAGAATATCAACGCTGTACTGTTTTAGTTGTTCATCAGAGTTTACATTTACATTCAAAGCAAAAGCCAGTTTCATCACACAGACTTGCCAATGAGCTATTAAAGGGCAACAGCTTCAGGATAAGCTCTTCGTCCAGGGTTTTTTCCTTTTTATAATTCAGTTGCCATGATACAGGTTTTTGGTTTCCAAAAGTTTCCTAAATAAACTCCATTTGTGTTATAAACATCGCCAGACCACCAAATTAGCGTGAAAATCTCATTTACAGCTTTTCACAGAAATTCCTTTACTTCATATTGAATTTGCTATTTACCTTGCAATCTGTCTTAAAGACGAGTGCTTTTATTTAAAATTGAATCGGATCAAACAGTGTAAGACAATGCTAGCTACATAAAACTTTTATATAGGCAAAACAAAATTATATAAAACCTAGAGCAAAAACAGCTTAATGGCTCTAAACCATTGTATACAGCAATGTACATTCAAAGCATTGTTTACTGTTAGTTTTTATAAAGCCTTGTATCCAGATATTGGACAATGATGGTTGTTACACACTATAAATTTTTAATAATATTTTAATCTTGATTAAAGTATTCAAAGTTGTCTTGACATCAAAATGAAGAAACACTTATATATGATGGAGGAATTTAATGGAGATTTAGCTCTTCCGAAAAACCCTTAATCGGGTCTTCTTATAAATGAGATTAGCTTTTGCAACCTATTTATAAATAACATTAGATAGAGACACGAGATTTTTTGACAGGTTTCCTGCATCAGGCTACCACGTGTATGTATGAATTTAATCGAGTTCTTTAAAGTATACACGAGATAGTCTAAAGTTAATGCCCATGTGTTTAATAAATGTTTCAGCATATTGTTATCTACAAGCAAGTAGATACAAACAAATAATACACACATTTTGATGCTAGAACCCCTGCAAATCAGAACCTCCTTTCTTAACACTTTTGAAATAATGGGCCACTTATTTTTGCAGCTACCAATCTCTTTTAAAGGGATTTTCCTTCATTTAATGTTCATAAATATTTGTTCCAATCATGACATTTATTCTAAAATGCCACATCAGCAATTCTGCGCGCATTTTAGACCCTTTCGCGCGCATATTATAGCCTCGCTTTCATTCGTTTTGTTTCCTGCATGTTTCCCTGACGAGTGGAAACTGTATTTGCAACTTGGGATTCTTGTGGTATTCTTTCCAAATGAAGTTTTACCAAGAAGTTTTCTTGTCTTTCAAGAGCTTCGGAAAGAGTTAAAGTTTGCAAGGTAGGTAGTTCCTTCACTTTGATTTTCTACATCAAGTGTTTATTATGAAATATGGCATTACCCTCGTGTGAGCCCAGGGGTGCTGCGTGACCAATATTTTTGATTGTCGAAAAAATTTGAATTTTATAAGTAGTTCCTGAAAAAAGTTCAAGTCAGGTCAAATTGATACTAAGCTTTTCCTTGGCAAAAATGCCCCTTGTGTAATTGTCTTTGATGATATTTTACATGTTTCTAAAGGTAAAAAGTGGTAAATAATTTAACTTCTTGGACACAAATTTCTGAAAAAACCGGTGTTTGCTTATAGAAACAAAGAGGGTATTATGAAAACAATTCCATGAAAAAATTGCAAAAATTTGTCAGTGTCATACTGAATTGAATATTTCATATAGAATATGCCCAACACAATCCTTCCAATGTTTTTATTAAAAATACAAATGCAGGCATTGTTTAAGAAATTCTCAAAATTCATTGACACTTCTTTTTTGCAACAATTTCTTATTTATTTTGTTCAATTTATGAAAAAGATTCCTGGCCTAAATCTCTTTGAGTTATCTCCAGATATTCTCAACAACAAAAAAGTTTTTTACAATCAATAATTGATTTGATATGTAAAATTGCAATTAATGCTTGCTTGTTGTTATCTAATTGTCTGCTTGAATTAAAATGAAATTAAATGAAATTAGAAAAGGCTTTGATACGTAGACATATATTTAAACTTGTCTTCTTCCTGTTCTCTGTATTACATTTATCCTATTAGAGTTTCAAATGTGTCATAATTTCATCCATGATGCTAACCCCTCTTTAAAAATTTTGTGGTGTGCAAACAACATTTCCAAAACAACAATTTTGCCATTGCCAACTTTTACTTTTTTATTTTAATTTTGACAATGTAATTTGAAACAATAACAAACTTTTTAAATGTACAAAATTGTAAGGTAAAGGCAAGTACAAGTCCTGAAGTTTACTATCTAATATTTTTTTTTGCTTTGCAATAAATTTGCAGTGCTTATGTGGTTTATTTTCATTAGATAAATTATATGTCCAAAACCAAGTGATTTCTTAGATATCTTTTCTCACCACTTTCTCTTTTGAAAATGGCTCTGAAAAAAGCAAACATTCCACAACATACTACTAAAAGCTTTTTTATCTGAAATACGAATTTCGTCTGAGAATAAAGAAATTTTAGATAATGGGCAGAGCCCGGTCGTCTTTTCATCTAGCAGTTTTGGAGACCATCTACATACGAACAAAAAAGCTGCCATTGTGTAGACAGAAATAGTTTGTTTTCCCTCTTGGACTCCAGTGGTAATTTTTCTATAGGCAAACAGCGTTGATTGAACAACTATGCCAGCCATGTGCTTGCTTTTTTCTTATTAGCCTAATTCGATCCACAACTGGTTATATATTTTCAACCATGGTCTTTCAGACCCTTATTCTGATGTTTTATACTCTGATGAGCGTCAGACAAAATAGCTTTTATAGTTTGTTGTGAAATGTTTGTTTTTTTCAAAGCCATTTTCGAGTTCTGTACCAGAAAAAAGGTTCCCTTTCTCTTTTGTCAGTTGACCAATCTATACCTACCTATTCTTAGCCAGAAGAAAAATAAATTATTATGTTGCATGATCTTGATAGGATAAAAGGACTGTGAAACATATATAATTTATTGGAAAAGAAATGTCAATTAAATTTTCTGTTTTGACGGAGTTATTAGAACTGAGACTAGTTTTTTCTAAAGATTTCTGCATGAAAAATATAATTTGCCTGTGCAATTTAAAAACAATGAATAGTCCACAAAATGTTTTTAAACAATTAATTATGTTTTTCTTCTGACAACCCCGGAAAGAAGTTATTTTTGTATTCCCGAAATTTTAGCTGTCTTTCTCAAAGGTACTGTCACTGCTGTCATTACCAATTCTTCACTTCTTTCCACCTTCTTCAATGCTTTCCTTTCCCTAGCTTTCATTAGCACTATCTAACACTTAGGAACTTTTTTTTAGTTTCTCAACTTTCTTTCTCCTGTCTTATTTTAGATACATTTTAAGAAGTTGCTTTGAAATGGCATCTTTCTCTTCTCAATGCGTTGAATTTAAAAAAATCATAAATTCTTGTTCAGTGAATCATTCTTCATTTACAACCATTAGTGCTTATGATGAATGTTCTTTGAATAATTAAATTTGATCCTAAAATCAATATTCTTTGCAAAAGTTTTGAAATTCCTCAAAATGGTAAATCATGATCAACTTCTAGAGATCTCTGGCTGTAATGGGCCTCTTATAGCAGCAAAACTGTTATAGATGAAAATGCCTTGTAATTCCTTCTTCAAAGCTAACAAAAGCATTTAATTAGCTAAAAATTGAGATCCTTGCAGGAATTGCAATGATGTCATTTTCCGGGCACCTAATTCCATTTTTATACGCAGTGAAATATGCTTTCCCCTTTTTTGTTGCTTGAAATAATTTTAGCACACAGCTATAAAGGTATCTTGAACAGTTTTGGAACTGCTTTGCAACAGTTTTTTTGTCTGCATTAATCTGTGTGTTTTAGTTTTGGTTGAAATACCTAAGAAGACCACTTAAGATTTCTCTACAACCCTCAAGAGCTTTTAAACTTGACTTGGTTTTATATCATTAACAACAGCACTTTAGAATAGATATTGAACATAAAATACAACAAATTTGTGTAGCTAAGCAGTGATGAAATCAAGTTTCTTTACCTGCAATTATGCAGTTGAGAAGGAAACTTTCATAAACTGCACTAACAAATCAAATGTACCTAAAGTGCATATATGTTAATTTTTATAAGTAAAATAAATATTGGCAGATGCTAAAAAGCAGATAATTTAGTTTTAAAATAATTCCCTATTAAATGAGGGTTAATAATAAAAAAAATTGTGAGCAAATTCTAAAACTATGATACTAAAAGGGACTTGGAAGAGATTGTAAGGCGAAAGTTATGAATCTTTATGATTTTTGTGCTTCTTTTGCCATCAAGGCCTGCAAAATTAAAAGAAATTTTCTCAAGGTTTTAGTGTTCATTATCTTGCTTTTATATTAATCTTTTAAACAATTTGCAAGCACATTTAGTTATTAAGTGATATTTGCCATTATTAGGTCAAGGTGCTTAAGATATTAAAGGTACATTTTCTTAAGTCTTTAAAGTTGATTTAAGATCAAATTATCTTGTGAACCTGCTTATCGCTGGCAAGATTAATTTGATTATCATACTATCATGAAGATTTTTTGCAACTATCTTCATTATTTCTTGCTTTGAGAGAGCATTCATTTCTTGGTTCTAGACCATTTTCCCAGCTATCATCTTTTCTTTGTTGGGTATCATCATCTGGAATAGAGCTGTAATTGGTGTTATTGCTAAAGCTGCCACCACAAGATGCATATTTTTGGCCAGTATGATCTTCGTCAATTTTGCTAGATCTTGAGAAAAGCTGGCGAATCTTTCTGGCTACATATTCACCAGCTACAATAAAAACAGAACCACTGTGTGAGTATTGACATATTATTTACTAATTTATAATATTTTGAGACAAAATATAATTGGTCAGCTTTTATGTCCAAAAGAAGCAATGTTTGCTTACAGATAAATGCAAATACTGGTTTAATTAAATCTGTCTAAAAATGTCTACACTTCTTTATCCAGTTGAAATACAATACCAAGACTATGCCAAGTCAACAGCAATGTCTTATGTATGGAAAATCTCTTGGAAAACTAACAGCTTCCTATGCATAGTTGCATTTCTTTGTCCAACATTGAATAGGCAATTCAGTGTTTCACATCGAATTCTAAAGATCTTTGACGATATATGGTGCGGCGAAGTTGTAAAAATTGATGGTGCATAGAGGGTGAAATTATACGATTTATTTTGATGTGGAAGCTCTTGGCAATGTTCAAGTGTTGTAATTCATATCAAAATTCAACAATTAAGAGATGAAGGTATAGGTACGCTGATTGACGAAGTTCCTATATTTAATTTTGGTTTTGTTGTTGCGAATGCTGTCGTTTTTATGTCTGATTTAACGTGCAGAAAACACGGAGCCAGCAAGAGACGATATTGCGTGACCGTTGCATCTTGATGAATTTACTGACTGACTAATTACAATTTAGGGCGTATACACATATAACAAGGGGACGCTACAAATGTGTTGTTTATTACGTTAAGTGGATACGAAGACAATGGAAAGTGTTAATGACAGAGACACAATGGAGGACATGATTACGTTTAGACAATGGTCACTACAAAGGGACGCTATATCTTGGCAGGATGAGGGTTTTAAAACACCTTTAAAATTTGCAGGCACTGACTATAACTGCTGTTTTCCCATGACTGGCTAATGGCGTCGCAAATCATTAAATGTAGGAAATGCAAGTGTAGGTCATTTAGAGCTGAAGTCTATATTTATGTGTATTCGATCTTTCAAAAAAGATTTGAAAACATACTTATTAAAAGCCATCAAGGTAAGATCCTCACTGCTATAAATATATTGCAAAGGCAAATCGGGGTGACAAATTATCCTCAAACTGATAACAAAATCAACGCACTAAGTGAAATGGCCTAAAGAACAGCTCTACTCTATGCTTTCACTCATTCATTTCCAGACTTAAAGATTATATTCTAGAAGCGCTATAGGGTACATACCGTCAATTATTAGTCACACCATCTCTGTAGTTTTAGAATCTGGATCGCAGGAAAGTTTTTATCGTGATAACAGCTTTATGATGCGAAGACGCAACTTCTTCTTGTTATGCGATTGTTGTTGTGGTATTCTGTCTAATTGTTGTTGTGCTGTGGTATCTGCAACCGAGACCGCGAGACAGCAACTGTTGCCAGGGGCGCCACTCCATACTTTGTGTGTGTGTGTGTGTGTGTGTATGTGGGGGGAGGGGGGGGGGGGGAGGAAGGCGTTGGTGGCTGCATCTTTTTAGCATCAAACAAATTTTATTATTTATTCTCAATATATATGAGGAATATCAGATCAAATGTACTAATTCAGCAATTTCGACAAGTCCAGTCAAAACTTTCTTAAACCGAACAAAACAGGAAACAATGATCTTTGCAACGTTTATTGCCACATTTACCTTAATAAGAATGTACCAAGACAATCGCCCATCCATATAAAAAATATTCTATAAACACACATGGAGATTATTGCAAAGCACAAAGATATTGTCTCAAATCCCCATTCTTAGTCCTACAAAGGCAAAATGATCTTGGAGATTGGTTAATCTACAACTAATTTTGTTGTCATACATTTTATTGCAAACCCATCTCCACTGCCACACCCCTGCAACAATATTACAAATACAAAATCAATGTTCCACACGCTATGATATGTGCGAAATGTATTAATTTTTTAATGTGAAGATTTTATAACCTCTACAGCCACACTATACCCAATAAAAAACGTACAAAATTACAGTTGTTCAGTTTGAATTCAGTTGTACAAACAACGCCTTCAATTCATTGATACACCTTTGCTTGCCATTATCCTTGTATGCAGGGATGAGGGGGAACCCAGTTGTAAAGAAGCATACTGATCATAAGCCCAAATGTGCTTGTATATTGAGTTACTACACACTACTTTAACAACAAACTGGATTGCCAGATCTCTCCCGCCACATAGCAGTGTTGCCAATGTCCGGTTGCGTATTTTTAAAAAAAGGCATACAAATATCCAACCACACTTAAATACTGGAAGTAAAAGATATCAGAACCAATTTAGAAAACTATTCCCACCAGACAAAGCTATCACTGAAGAAAAAAAAATACTCCTATTTCGTGTCACTGGTGTCCTTATCGGTGTTAGTTTTTGAGCAGACAATTTCCAAGAATAAACCTACCTTCTCGAATACAGTTACATAAAGTATACATTAAAGCAGATCAATTGGGAGAAAATATTTGCCCTGCCAGAATCGTTTGCCCTGCAACAAGGCCAATTTTTTATGTTGGGGGGGGGGGGTTAACCACCCCCTATCCCCCTCAAGTGATGCCCCTGCCTTTGTTAGCTGATTCAGTTCAGTTCAGTGTCATGTTTTAAAATTCCTTTTACATACATACAGTCAAGTTAATACATTACTACAGAATATCAACATTTAAAAGCTACAGCATACTAACTGAATAAAATTGAAGACAAAATAAGACCGAATTAAAGGAATAGTATGCAGGGAATTTGACTCTCCTTTTGTTTTTACCAACGACTTCTACATGTGCCTAAAAATACTCAAGATGGTTGATTTTTTACGAACACCCAAAATTGAAATCACAACACCAAAAATTAGATTCACAATACCACAAATTAGATTCATAAAACCACAAAACGGCAACAAAACCACGTTCGAATAATTCCTGCATCTAGTAGTGGCCCCAAGGGGGTATGGGGGTAATTAACCTCCCCAATTTTTGCCAAAACATGGACCCCTTTTTTAGAAATTGATTAGAAAGCGGTAGGTGGGGGTAGATCATATTTCCGCCTAAGAAAAACTCTTCTGGTTCAGAGTACTGATACGAGGCAAAAGGGCGTGGTCTCACTGAAGCCCATTACCCTTCCACTTTGCAGTAGCTGGCACCGCCACTGTTTCCATCAGGGACACAGTGATCGAGGAAAGGGGGTAGCTTAGGGTGCAGAGTTTGTGGAAAAAATTAGAATATTTTGCCAAGTCCCCCACTCACACGCACACTTAATTTTCTAAAGATGTGATTGATCGAAACAAAGATGGATGGAAACAAATTCCAATATTTCTTTACTTTAAACATATATCCATCAAAAAATTTGATAGAATTGATCAAATACTACGTTGCATCTCAGAGAAAACATTTTAGTACTAATCAAATTTATTATTTGAAGTTTCAGTCAAGAAGTGAGAAAAAGGCTAGATTGCCAAATCCAGATCATAGATATCGACTTGAAATTTAATTGAACATAAGCAGGAATAATAGATGCTGTTCTTCTTTGTCACTGAAAAGTAATTGATCATCAGGACATGAATAAACCCTATATTTTTGAAAAGGCAAAAACAGTCCTGGTTGTTAACAACAAGAAGACGAATAATAGTCACTGTTACTTTCATTTAACTTTAGGAACAGGACTCTATCTAGCGATAACGCTGATAACATTTTTGCACTGAATAGTTATTCTGTAAAAGAATTTGATTTATATATATTTTTATTGGCATTGTCCTTTTCACTTGCACATTGGATTTAAGAATAGTCAACTGCTACATGAAAGGGAAGGTCTCCTTTTGAATACGCAATAACAAGAATATCATCATATATCGCTTATAACGCAATTCAGATCACAATATCGACGGAACTGGAAGGGCGTCGAAGTTCTTTATAAAACACAGAAAATATACAGAGAATAGAATCTCGTCATTCAGATTAAAAAATATCTCCAAATCTAAGGAAGGGTGAATTCTGATAATTATGTCAAAGCTAAAATAGTTTCTATCGATTTCTGTCAAGTTGGGTCAAATTTTTAGAACCTTCTTGCAAACATCATAACGCTTTGAAATAAATGAGCCATCAAATCTTCATATTTCCAGCTTTGCGCATCTATGGATAGAAAAATTACCCAGAAACTAAATAATTTAAATTATTGTACACACAGAAAAATGGCTAAACATTTTAGCAAACACTGACATAGGGTGACAGACGGTGGCTTAGAGCTTTACAGAATCAGGCATATCTACGTACCTTTCCATATTCTTTCTCTCTTCTTTTTACTCCCTCTTCTCTCTTTTTCTTTTCTGTGCATTTTGCTTTTTTCCTCAGTTTTTCTTTCAACAAGCGTTGTTTTTTTTCCTTCTAGCCTTTGGCAAGAACCTCTTTACCCTGGGTACCAGAGGATCCCCTTCCCCGGTTCTTCATTTTTAGACTCTCTGAGGCTCAGCCACCCAGGGTACGACTTCTTTTTAAAGGACAGTTTTTTGTCAAATTCTTTCTGATCGTCTTACTCGAGAACATCTCTTCTCTAAAGGGCTTGAGATGATTAAGAAATAAAACTAATAAAGTGTCTATGGAAGGAAAGTCAAAAAATAAGACATTTCTCTCGCTTTTTTTCCTTCTTCGGTTACTTACAATGTGCGTCCGCTTCTCCTAGTAACTTTGCCTTGCATCTGTTCAATCTCTCTCACCTCTCTAAAGCATTTTGCTTTCTTTATCTTTCTCGTACTAAACTTTGCTTCTAGCCTTGATAACATCTTTTTTAAAAAAGGCAGAGCCTTGTATTCTTTCTAATAAGTTTTCAAGGAAAAAATTGTTCAACATGATATGGAAAGTAATTGAATCAAAAATAAATGTCTATAATCTCTAAGGTTATTAATCAACGTCCCTTGAGCAAATATCAAAAAGACAGAACTCGCTTTTTCTGTCTCCGTTGCGTTGATTTAATTACTCATTTTCCTTCTACTTTTTCACACAGCCTTTTCTCTTTCTGTCCTTTGTAATCTTTTTTTCTAAGCATTTTGCTCGTATTTTTCTTTTTTTTCATGAAAAGCAGTGCGTTTGGATCCTAACAGATCGATGACTCATGTCAACCATTGGAAATTAGAGAAAATCCTTTATTTCTAATCTTGACATGACATAGAAAGAAGATAAGCTATGATCAGATAAACAGTTCTTAATTTTTTTCAAATATGCGGTCAACGTAACAAATATTGAAAAACAAGGTAAACTTGTATATTCAGTTTTTCTTGATCTCCTCTTTTTCAACTTTTTTCAACTCAGGCAATGAGGTCTTCCTGTCCTAGTCGTTTGTTCGCCAATTGCTAAGCTCAACATCGTTCTGTTTAGCATGTCGTCCCTCCAGTAAAACCATCTAAAGCAACAACTTTTGCATGTTTTTCATCATTCTTACAACCTCTCTCCTACCTTCCAATCGTCGTTATCTTCATCTTTTGCAACGGAGTTTTGTCTGACGATAATCCAATTTTCTTCTCCAATTAGAACCATTTCTTACGAATTACATCCGCATCCGCTTTTACTTTTCCTTTACTGCATCTTAAGAAACTGACTGATGCCAGTTTTCTTTGCTCAGCAATCGAGAAACCGTCATTGCTGCTGGAGCATTTTTTTTAACCTAATAAAATAAGCTTTGATAACTGGTTTGAAGTCGATCGACTTTAAGATTTTAATCAAGTTGGATATATATGAGAATCTATAGGAACTGCTAGTTTTGTAGTGCCTAATAATTCAAAGTAATGCCTCCTCGCCTTAAATGTGATTTATTGATATATAATTCAGATTTGCCTTTTCCAAATCTCTTTCTCCAAATACACTTCTTTGCAGTTACGTCTTCCATTTACTCTAATGTTTCACAAGCATTGCATTTGGTTTAGTGTCACCAAAACATGACAATGACAACTGTAAAACACTTTGGTTATCAAAAAGCACTATTTCATATATTATTAGTTGTTCTTTGCTATTCTCATTTAGTTATGCTGGATGACGAACAGGATGCCTGGTGACTCAGTTAGCTTGAAAATCAAAGTTGCAACATTGAACAGTAAGTTCAAAAATTTCATTTCTACTCTTCTATATATATTCTACAATGCCTTTCAAATTTCTTGGAAGACTGGCGTCAGTTTACAAGGTCAATAAACGTTCTCCAAGGGAACAATGTTGGATTACTTTAGAACTTCGTAGAATGTTTGCAGGTTTCTGCTTTTGCATTACTTGTATAAAATTTGTCTAAACTATCAACAATTTCAAGAGGAAAGTAGTGATTATTTTCGGAAAAAATACAGATATGAAATAAAACGCAAATTGCTGGAAATACCAAATAGTTTTTGCAAGCCTTGTGGGTTTGATAAATTATTCAAATTTTCTGTTATTAGAATTAATGTTCATGTTTTTTTCGGGTTTCACCGGGCAAAATACGCCGAAAATTAAACACAAAATATTAATGTCGCATAATTGTTTTATATCAACGCGGCAGCCTCCCTTATCAGCCTGTGACGTAACAATCTTTGATAACGAGACACAGATAATTCTGACGTTTGATATAAGAAATGTACTATTATTTACTTGCGCAGTATAAACCCAGTTGTCAAAAGAAATTGACTACCGTGATTGTTGAACATTTGTTATTACGAATCAAAATGGGTAACCTTTTTTCGAAAAGCAACAAAGTTTCGCCTTTAAACGTAAGGCATAAGGAATCTGAAATGAATACGAATAGCCGTCCTACTAAGAAGTGGTATCGAAGCTTGCTTTGTTACTATAAAAATGCTGTTGCGGCAACAACATCGCTTGCGCAAGACGTAGCGCCAAAGAATAGCAACCGTAAATTGGTTGGCGGAAATGAGTTGAACAACGAATCGGATCTTCTTATCGAAGGCTGCCACGACGATGATGTCAATTCGTCTGCAGAACTGGTTCTTATTGAGCCAAAAAAGTTTGAATCGTCATCAGCTAAGTTGCGGTTGCCGGTAGATGAAGAGTTCGAAGAGTGGAGGGCGGTAAGGAGCAAGACCGTTGTAAAAAGGAACGAAGTCGGTCGTGCGAGATCTATCGCCTTCAATATTGAGCTGTTAGAAGTGGACATGCTGAATAGACCACAGTCAAGCTTATCCATGGACCAACAAGCGAGTAGGCCACGAATGCTGGCAAGCAGGTTGCCAGAGCTGTCGACAGTCACCAAAGAGGAGATCGAGAGAAAGTAAGTGAAGAAAATTGTCTGTCTCTGGATGTTTGCTTAAGGAGTGTTGATAAAGAAACCTTAAGAGTTATAGCAATCTTAACTTAATTTATTTGCTTTCTAGATTATCGCAAGCAGTGGAGAGAAGAGATGCTCTCTTGAGAGACCGGTCAGAAAGGATACGAGAAAGATCTGCCCTTTCAAAGGAGATGCTAGGACGACTCGAAGCTGAGAAACAACGCTTGTTAAAGGAAAAAATTGAGGAGAAGGAGCGAAAAGCCGTAGACAAGAAAGAGCGACTGAAGAGGAGAAAGGAAAGAAAGGCTGCTAGACAAACAAGACGCACGGAAAGGGCTAAGGCAAACGCAGCCGAGAAAGAAAAGCAAGTTTGTGTGAATGCAGAAGAAGCACTGAAGGAAAAAATGAGGGCTGCTGAGGGAAAAAAGGCAGAGATTATGCTGGAGCGAGAGAGCAAACGAAATATTCACAGGTTCAAGCAGATCCGAGCAGAATTGATCAAGCTAAATGAAACTGGAACAAAAGACAGATCAACATTAGAGGATAGAAATGAAAATATTCTTGGCCAGGGGAGACAGGAGGCTATGAGGTGCAAAACAGCGTTAGACAAGGTGAATGTTGTCTAAATACACTTTTCGAACTTGTATGTTCTTAAACCTTAACTGAAAATTTTATTTGGACTGTTTTTGAAGGACTTTGCTATCATTTCATGCAAAAGACCTTGTTTTTAAGTTCAAGGGTGCATTTGTTCATGGGTTTATACGTTTATATCTCATATAGATTCTCATATTTTTTATAGGTCTACGCATTGCTTGAACAGTCTGCTGAAGAAGAGGTTAACCTAGAGACTTTTGATGGCGATTCAAATAATGTATTCGCGGAGGAACCAGAAATCACAGAAATCACAAAGGATCCCTTCTGGGATTGCTAGAGGAAAATATAAAAAAGATAATAAATGGGATTTTCAGTAATGAAAATATTTCAGATGGGGTAATAGAGCTCTAAGAGGGTCTGGATTAGGACAATTGGAAGGTTTTGAAGGAACGTTATTTTTTAATGGTCAAATAGAGGGGTTCTGCTATAAAGACATCAAATAGCAATTTGACTTAATTAAGGTTTGAAATAATTGCATATTTCAACTTAGTGTGAATGAACTGAACTAGATTAATCTGGAAAACGTAGAAGGGCGGAAGGTCGCACACTGACTCAGAGGGACACTGTTGTTTGGAGCAAAACCGAGCAACACAGCCCAACAAAGGCTGAAACAGAGCTGCTCAGAAAGACAGAGAGTGACACAGTGGCACAATGCAATACCGAACATCACAAAGCAACGTATATCTACGAAGAGTGACACAGAGCAACGCAGATTGATATCCATTCAGAGCAACAGAGGGTGATGCTGAGTAACACAGAATGGAGCAAAGCGATACAGAACAAGACAGAGTGGCACAGACCGGTGCATAGCAACATGAAGCAACCAAACGAGACACAGAGAGACACAGCCCGTTACATAGCAACACAAAGCAACAAAATGAGAAACAGTGCGGCTCGGAGTAACATAGAGCGACACAGAGCAACAAATACTGACACAGAGCCTTTCAGAGTGACACAGAGTGACACAGGGTGACAGACGGTGGCTCAGAGCTTTACAGAGGAACACAGAGCAACATAGAATGGTATTGAGAGACAGAGAGCGCCACCTAAAGTGACAATTAGCAACACTCAACGATAGAAAGCCGCACAGCACTGTTCAGAGTGGCACAGAGAGACATAAATTGAGGATAAATTTCATAAGATAGGGGATTTTAGTCCAAACGACGTTGATAGATGTGATGTACGTTAAACAAATGTTATTACCACATCTACATCAAAGAAATTTGTAAATTTTTGGCAACTCGCGCCATGCCACTCTTTATTTGAATATTATATCTTGGGTTCTGTTGTAATCGTTAGTGGGGATTACTGAATCTACTACAAACAATCAATCCTGAATTTATAAACACTGAAAGGGACGTGACATATTTGAAGCTCATTCCTTTTAAATTGTTTTGAATCAGCAACTATTTTATGAAATAATCATTCATTTAATATTTATAATTTAGTTTTATTTTCTTTTGTGATTCCTTTACATATTCGCCGCGATATAACTAGCAAGCAAAAATGTATTTCTCAAAACGATATTGGAAATGACATTAAATTGATGAAAAAAGTATCAAAAGGGAAACAAATGTTCTCTTTGTCCCAAAATGATTAATATTTTCGAAACAATCTTTCTTTCAAGACAGGGATTTTGAAGAAATAGAAAAATGTTTACAGGCATAGAAAACATATTTTAATAGATCTCATTTTTCATTTGACATATTTTCTTTATTTTTCTTTTGTAAGAATGGAAAACCAAATGCAAAAATTGTGACTCTTGTGCATTTACGTTCTAAAAGTATTGGAACACCTTCGAAATTTGGAAGGCTCTTGATGAAATGAGTTTTTAAAGACTTTTTTAATCCCTTCTTGTATATTTGCATAAAATTTTTACAATGTATTTTTTATTATTTGAAGATTTTTGGGTATGACAAGTGATTCGAAAATGATAAACCATAGAAATTTTGTAGGCCTTAAAACGCTAACAGGAAGAATTAAAAAATTAATTGTTTTTTAATAAAACAACGCGAATAATTATCGAAATTTCGTCAACTACCGGCTGCTCAAAACGACAGATTTTGCCGTATGCAAAAAGTTTTGTCCATACAAGAGCTGCGAAAAAGTCTATCGAGAGTTGGTATGTCAACGACGTCTGCAGAGAGTGAAAGTCTTAAATTAACCATATGGACATTGTCGTTTTTGGTTCAGCAAACCTAGTATGAACCTAAAATAGTTACTTGTGTACAGTGTTTTGCTTTGCATATGCATCCTAAAGTAGTTGGGTTTGTTGGCCTAACTCTGAGGACCTTCTAATGTCATCTGACTTTGCTCATGCTAGGTCATTTAACTTGTGATCTCACTTTGCTAATATATGCAGTAATTCGCGTGGTTCCTACGTTTCCATGGTTATAATTCAAGTTTGAAGGTTTTAATTCAAACTTATAAGCATTTTTTCAAGAAGACATGGACAAATATTATATGAATAAAGACTTAGAGAATCTAAACATAAAAAAATGCAACACCAAAATTTTGTTTATCGAAGGCTCTATACTTTTTGAATGTAAGTGTACAAACTTCACAGAACTACAGTCACACGAAAGTTGCTGACACATTTTCTCAGCATTGCTAAAAATCTTTCACAAGAAAAAAATGATCTCAGACATGTCATCTCCTAATTAAAAGAGGAAAGCATGTTTCTTGAATAAAATTAAATTAAAAGCGTTTTGGAATAAAAATTAAAACGTTAAAAGTTCACATTGAAGTATCTAGAAATGATTCATTCCTTAAATGGGAAATATATGAAATGGCAAAAAGTTCTAAGTAATGAAATAGATAGAAAGAAAATATAGGCAAACTTTATGATAGATAATATGATATACTTCAGGAAAAGTACACAAAAATTTTACAAACCTTTTAACTTTTAGCAACCAAAATCAATATTAGTGGTATTTGTAAAAAATTTCTACAAAACTTTTGTTTTTTAGACTGAAGGCTGATCAATTTTTTTCGTACAACAAAGATTATTAATGTATTTCAACATTTGTCTGGATGCGAGTCCTTCTCGCCTTACATACCTCACAGCAATGATGAAGTAAATTAGAGCAGTTAGCCATACCAGGAAATTTATTTCTATGAATTGTAGGTACTTATGTCACCCTTTAGATACTTCTTGCACTTTTGAAAAATGATATTATTTAAAGCAACTTTACTGACGAAAATATTTGCCACAGGATCAGCAATATTAAATTTAAATCTTGTTTAATTCTATCTTATGACTCTGAATTAATTCAAAAATAGTTTTGAAAGTCATAAAAAGTTTCTTGAGGGTTTTGAACTTTGCTCAATGTTGAAAATATTTCTAGGCCTTATTGATTTGAGACAGCAACAAAAGCTAATATTTTGAGTTTCAATATTTTTTGGATTTAAAACATTATTTGGTTGTTGTTTTTTGATTAAACTCGTTTAACAAGGTTGCAATATTGCCATTGAAAACATCTGGAATGCAATCTTGAGATTGTTACATAAATCCGCAAAATCTCAAATGTTTTCGAGGTAAACATCGATATTTCAATGAGATTTTAGGATTTTCTCGATTCCGCAACTTAAAATGGCTATTAACATCTATATTTAACTTTCAATTAATATTTTCTTTCTCGATTAGGCCTAATCATCGTAGTTAAAATGTTATGATAAATATGTTGTCATCTCTCAGAAGAGTCGATTATATCAGATTAAATATGTGTAATTGAAAGTCTTATTAAGAAGGGGATTTTATACTTGGCAATCCGATCCGCTGGAGGTTTCCATAGCATATATCTGATAGAAAACCAGCATGTGTGTTGCTTTCCATTCAATACACTGTTATAGGGATAACTGAAAAATGTTTGAAGGTTATTGGGTGTACCTGCATCTGCCCTATTCGACGACTCTGAATTTTAAAAATGAGCGAATCTTTCATTTACCAGTGACCTGAAGGGTGTGTACAGAAATCCAATTAATGTCTAACACCCAATCATTGTTGCTTAAATCCGTCCCTGCTGACTATTTACTATAATACTTCTGTTGTGTTAAGTTTTTGTTTTGAGTTGAAATTCTTCTAGTTTTACCAAACGATTCCTTATATTCTGCGAAAAAATGTTTTCCAGTGAGTCAAATTTTTTACAAGACCAACGAAATTAAAATCACAACGCCACAGATCAAATTTACAACACTAAAAAAGGGTAACAAAACCACGTTAGAATAACCCCTGAAAGATACTATATCGAAAGAAAGGCAACACTTATATTGGAACAATTAGTGAAAAACAGTCTAGTGGGTCGATTAGAGCTGTTGTAGCACTTGTTTTGACTCTTTTAAAACTTTCTGCATATATCTATAATTCTATTAGGTGAATAGATTGATGCCACTTCAATGTTTTAGCAAATTTTGTCGCTTAGAGAAATTTATGACAAGAACAATTTAGAGAAATTAGAGCCCATTGAGACTACAGTTTGTTAAGACAAATTTGATTCTATGTCTTACATTTGTTTTTTTATAAGAATACCATATATTTTGTCAAGCCACATTATCCTTATTATTGTAAATCTGATCGAACGAATGAGAAATTATAACAACAAAATGTTTTAACAATTATGTAGTTTTGAACAACACATAATTTGTTTGAATAAAGATTCATGCACAGTATTCTCCTTCAACATCAATCCTTAAAAGTCTAGTTAGTATTCATTAAAGATTAAAATATTCAAAACATTCAGGAAATTCCCGACATTTTTAACAGGCAGCTAAAAAGCATTTCGTATGTGTTTCAATGAATTATCAACTGAATTTATTGTGCTTATCAGTTTCAAAAATGATAAATAGTTTCATAAATAGTTTTCTTAATGAACAAGGGGCACGTGTTTTGCCAATTTTCACATCCAATGCGTGATTTAGCTTCCGCCACTACCTTGAATATATATTTAATAGATTTATTGAGAAAATTGACTTTCCTTCAATTTTGTTTTGTTTTGCTAGTTGCTAGTTTGGCACCATCTGTTATAGTGCTAGTTGACAGAATCACTACTTCAAAGAAATGCCTCTTCGTCTTATGTATAATTTATTCATCTACAATTCAGAGTTGCTTTTCCAAATCTCTTTCTCCAAATATACTGCTTTGCAAATATGCCTCCCCTTTACCCTAATGTTTCACAAGCATTGTATTTGGTTTAATGTTACCAAGGCAAGACAGTTGCAACTGTAAGACAGTTTGGTTATCACAAAGCACCATTTCATATATTATCAGTTGTTCTTTGCTTTTCTCATTTAGCTGTGTTTGATGACGAACAGGATGCGTGGTGACTCAGTTAGCTTGAAAATCGAAGTTGCAACATTGAACTCAGTAAGTTCAATTCTACTCTGCTAGATAAAGATATATATGCTACAATGTTTGCCCAAATTTTTGGAACAATGCCGTCAGTTTTCAAGGTCAAACTCAGCCATTCCCCTCTCCCACAGGGAAAAATGCCGGACTGCTTTAGAACGGCGTAGAATATTTTGGAGTATCTGCTTTTGCATCTTACTTGTATTATATTTGTCTAAACTAACAACATAGTCCGTGGGAGAAGGGGGTTGGAAGTAGAGATTTTTGTCGGGAAGATATCAAATAAAACGCAAAGTGCTAGGTGTTCCAAGTATTTATAGCAGGCATTGTATGTTCGATAAATTTTTCAAGAGTCATTGGCGCTGCAGCCTCCCTTATCAGCTTATGACGCAACAATTTATCATAACGAGACACAGATGAATTTGACGTTTGATAGAAGAAATGTACATACTATTATATACTTGCGCAGAATTTTCCCAATTGTCAAAAGAAGTTGACTACTGTCAGTGTTGAACATTTGTTATTACGAATCAAAATGGGTAACCTTTTTTCGAAAAGCAACAAAGTTTCGCCTTTGAACAAAAGAGGAAAGGAATCTGAATTGGAAGCAGGAGGCCGTCCTACTAAGAAGTGGTATCGAAGCTTGCTTTGTTACGATAAAAATGCTGTTGCGGCAACAACATCGCTTGCACAAGACGCAGCGCTAAAGAATAGAAACCGTAAATTGGTTGGCGGAAATGAGTTGAACAACGAATCGGATCTTCTAATCGAAGGCTGCAACGACGATGATGTCAATTCGTCTGCAGAACTGGTTCTAATTAAGCCAAAAAAGTTTGAATCGTCATCAGCTAAGTTGCCGTTGCTGGTAGATGAAGAGTTCGAAGAGTGGAGGGCGGTAAGGAGCAAGACCGTTGTAAAAAGGAACGAAGTCGGTCGTGCGAGATCTATCGCCTTCAATGTTGAGCTGTTGGAAGTGGACATGCTGAATAGACCACAGTCAAGCTTATCCATGGACCAGCAAGCGAGTAGGCCGCCAATGCTGGCAAGCAGGTTGCCAGAGCTGTCCACAGTCACCAAAGAGGAGATCGAGAGAAAGTAAGTGAAGAAAATTGTCTGTCTCTGGATGTATGCTTAAGGAGTGTTGATAAAGAAACCTTAAGAGTTATAGCAATCTTAACTTAATTTAT